CTCCTTAACTTTGGACTACTAAAATTGAAAGGAAATAGGTCAAGATCATGCAAGGGAGCAGAGAGCTGGGCTGGACTCTGAGCTGCCTCTTCCACGTGCACAGGTTCATCCTTCCTCACCCAGGTTCATCCTTCCTCATCCCAAGCTCATCCTTCCTCACCCAAATTCATCCTTCCTCACGCAAATTCATCCTTCCTCACCCAAATTCATCCTTCCTCACTCAAATTCATCCTTCCTCACCCAGGTTCATCACTCCTCACCCAGGTTCATTCTTCCTCACCCAGCTTTATCCTTCCTCATTCGGGTTCATCCTTCCTTACCCAAATTCATCCTTCCTCATCCAGACTCATCCTTCCTCACCCAGACTCATCCTTCCCCATCCCAAAGAGGCTTTGTGGAACAGACAACTGCTCACTTTCCACGTTTCACTGCAGGAAGTGAATTTGTGTCTGGCCTCAGACACGTGGTTTGTTGGCAAAGCACTGCTCACGTGCTCTGGGTTCTGAACCAGACCCTGAATCACGTTACAAACACTGGGCAGATGCTAAAAATAACCTAAAATAGAGGCTGCCACTGCCTGCCTTCACCAGGCTGGGAAGAGACCAGTTTGTTCTATTTTCACCCAAATATTAGGGAACTTTAATGCAGTTAGAGCAGGGCAGGATTAGAACACCCATGTGCTCCTTAACATCCTCCTAAATGCTGAGCAGGGATTATTTCTTTGGGATATTTCTTTCAGCGCCAGGTTTAATCCTGTGGCCAAGCAGCAGGAACAGGAGCACGTTCAGTGATGGGTTTCACCCCCTTCCCAGGGGAGCAGGGCAGGGAACCTCCCAGCATGTTTTTGTGGTTTAATCCTTTCAAATGGCTGAAACCGAAAATCATAAAAATCCCAAATCAAAGCAACCTCAAAGGCAGAGTGCTCCATTCCCCTTGGACAGCCTTCCTGATTTCATGGATTGGGCAGCTGGAGTTAATAAAGGGTTCCACTGCTTTGCTCCCTTCACTGCCTGTTTTTTTGAATAATTAAATATTTGTGGACTGCAGGGGCAAGGGATCCAGGATCCCAGTTTACCTCCTGTGTTATCACAGGGCTTACCTTACCTTGTTTTATCTCTCTTTCCCTGCCCAAGCTTCCTCCCACACTTCCTCCCTGCTGCCTGCACTGAAGATTAAAGGTAAATAGGAAGAGATTTCTAGGAAGTGTCACTTTTTTTCTTTTTTTTTTCCTCAGGTCTGGATTTCAGTCATGAACTGAAAGCAGCAGCTCAGCCCAGGATGTTTGGGTAGTAAACAAAGCGTGGTGGTATTTGGATAACAAGGAAAACATGGTGGTCTCTAAAAGATGCACGGAATCTCCACAGTCACAACAAACAATTTTAAAATGATAGAGCAAATCTCAAACTTTTTAGAAAATTGTAACCAAGTTTCTACCAGTTTTAATTTACTTTTTGCCCGTGGAGCAAGGAGCAAATACCACTGGGAGCCAAATATGAAGCCAGGAATTCAAACAAGTGATGCTGCCTACGAAGGCTGTGGAATTTAACTTTCAGTCAGATACCTCATCAATATTAGCTATTATTAACTTTAAATTAGATATCTAATTAATCTACTAGATAATTATAGCAAAAAGGTAAAAAATACAGCCTCAGGCTGTGTGGCCTGAGGCTCAAAACTTCAGAGGCAGAAGGCAAAGTAAACACATCAGAACTGGAGGCAGTGATGTTTGGGAAACTTTAATCCAGTTAAGAGCATCACTTGTAAAGCTGGATGTCTCCAGGGGCTCATTAAGTGCATCCAAACTTCCTGCTCTCCAGGAACTCCCTGCCAAGGTGTTGCAATAACTTTTCCTGGATCCTGCGTGCAGCTCTGCTCTACCAGAAGCTGTCTCAGGAAAGCACATCCCATATAATCCCTTTATTTACTATCTCAGGGAATTCCTCTTTGGCACCGCTTCACACAGTTTTCCTCTATAAATTTAACTTTTTGAGGGCTGTTTGAAGATGTCCTGCTCATTGTAGGCAGGTTGGACTGGGAGACTTTTAGAGGTCCCTTCCAACCTGAAGCATTCCTGGAGTTTATGATTTTAGTTCCTAAAATCAAGCTGCTCTTCAGGAGCTCTGGCAGGAGCCTCTCAGTGCTCAAAGGGAGAAATCCATGGTGCATCTCCCACTTCCCAGAGGAAATTTCATTTCCCAGAGCCAAGGATGGATCCCTGCACGTGGAGAGTGCAAAGCTGCTCTTTCCATCCCCTCCTCTTTGCCAGTTCTTGCAGTTTTTTGTGTTTGCATCTGATAAATCTGACACAGATTTGCACTGACTTCACTCCAACTCAGACTGGAACAGGTTGTTTTTTCCTACTCTCAACTTGAAAATAACAACTCTGAGCCTGTCCTTAATCAAAGCTCAACACTCAGCTCATACAGAGAAGTGAAATTTGGGGGGTTTGTATTTTTAAATGCCTTTAGTGGCAGCAGGGCAGGAGGAGGAGAGCAAAGGGAGGGATCATCACCCAGTGCTCAACCTGCAGCTCTTCACCTGCAGCCCTGGGGAGAACCAAAATATGCACACACACACACACAGAAAAGCTGAATATTTTTCTCCTTTTCCTGTAAAATATTTTGTTGTGAACTTATAGCCCACCAGAAAACAGAGCTGGAAGGTGCAACTTTGATGCATTCAGCATCATAAAGCACTAATTCGGAAAAACTCATCATCCCCTTGTGAAAACTCAAACCCTGCTTGTAGAATTCATCCATCCCTACTTCTAAATTAATCTTCCCCTTGAAGAAGGAGAGATCTGTGGCTCCTTACCTGCTGGTGTGTTTTCCATGGGGCCCAGGTCTCCTGCAGCTCTGAGGTGCCCGGGCTGCTGGTCCCTTTTCAGCCCCAGGGAGGCTGAGCTCGGTGGCCCAGCCCGGTGGCCATGCCCCTCTCCGGGCTGACGTCAGCCGGGCAAACCCTCCCAAAACTTCTGGAGCGATGACCCAACCTTGGAACAGCACCTACAACCAGCTGGCCCCGAGCCTGGGGATGTTTACAGCACGCTCTGGAGGGCTGCACTCCACTCTTGCAGATGTTCCCAGCAGGCAGCAGAGTTGGATGGGGTGAACCTTCACTCCTGAGAGGTGGCAATGCCACTTTGTCCCTGGCCCAGCTTCTCCAGAGGGACAGCTCTGCTGCCTTGTCCCCATCGTGCCCAGAGCCTGACTCAGCAAATGCTCCTTCCTCTGCTCAGACAAATCCTGCACTCCAGCACCAAGGGGATTTTAGTCCTTCTTTCTCCTCTCCCCGTTGTTTTGAGAGGTTTTTTCCCAATTTCCACTCCTTTTAATTGCTTTTCCAGCAGCTGCTGCACAGCTGGAAGCAGGATGGAGCGTGTTGGGCGTTTAAAAACAAAACATCTTTCCAGTGGATCTGCATTCAGAACAGGGGGGTGAGGAAATCAGAGCAGCCAGGGAATGCAAAGGAGCTGGGAGGGTGCACGGCCACGGGATAATTCAACAAGTTAAATGAATTTGACTGCCCCGGAACTTCCACAGCTCGAGGATTGTGCATCTGATTTGCAGAGCTGCCTCAAACCACAGGGTTGTTGCTTAACAAAAGGCTGGGGCTCTGCTGCAGCTGCTGATTTTCTCATTTTCAAGGCATGAGCTCATTTAGGAGAGGAGCAGAAGTGTTTTCCGGCATCCCTTCGTGTTGGGCAATGGGGGAGCAACGGGCAAGGCTCCTCGTGACTGCAGAGAGCCCATCTGAGTGCACCACCAAAAACCAGCACTTTTCTGACCAAAACCTGTGCCTCAGTGTGTGACCCAGCCCTGCCTGACTGCACAATAGCTGCAGAAAAGGCTTTTTCACAGAAAAATGACACCTGCTCCAAGCACCCCTTGGGGTTCCCCATCTCCTTATTATTTTAATTTTAATATTAAAAATATTAATTTTTAATATTAAAATATCTGCTGATATTAATATTATTGTATCTGCTGATATAACATTATTATATCTGCTGATATTTTAATATATGCTGATGTTTCTTCTGATTCATCAAATCCCCCAAGCAGATGCTCCAGAGGATTTCTGAGAAGGGGACTCAGGACCAGCCCTTGTATCTGCCAGGAGGAAGAGAGAGGCTGGGAAGGGAGCCAGACCCTTCCAGGGGCACATGGCAAGCAAAGGAAAAAGGAACAGCAAGAGCTCCAGGAAGCCCTTATCAAAGGGAAATTCAGCATGTTAAATCAGGGACTTTCTGGACATCTCTTAAAAGAAGTATTATAAGGGAGCAAATTAATTTTACAGCTTAAAAAAAAAATGCATGGCACGCTGCCCTTCCACACCATCAGAAACAAGGGAGTATGAACTGCTGGGAACTGTCCCCAAGCTCAGATTAAACTTTTTGGGGTTATTTCCTCTCCACTGAGGAGCTCAGGGAGCACAAACCCCTTTTATTTTGCTGCAGGCTGGAGGTGATCACCTCCTGCACCTCCTCAGCAGGGTCTGTCCGGGGAGCTGGCAGTCCCAGAGCACAGGCCAGAGCAGACATGCCCTCCATCCCTGCAGAGCACTTTCCATGTCCCACCTTCAGCCAAACCTCCCCCATTCCACTGCCCCTCGCCCCAGAGCCAGCACCCACCCAGAGAATTCACCTCAGGCACAGCTCCAAGCACAAAAATGAATTGTTTTTTTTAAACAGGGGTAATTTCCCAGTGGCTGGAGGTAATTCGCCCCTGCAGATGGACAATGTGCCATGCCAGGAGCACACAGCTGCCGTGGGGTCACTGCTAGCCCAAAGCTGGGCTGTCAGATCCCAGTGTTGCAACACTGTAAAATTCCCCCAAATTCAGTTCAAAATCTGTAAATACTGCAGCCCCAGAGCCCTGGCCATGCCCACAGCCAGGGCCCCCAACACTCTGCCTGAAACTCTGGTGCACCCCAAAATCAGCCCAGGCTTTGAGAACCATCCCAATTTCCAAAACAACCAGAAGGCCAAGAGTTTAACAACCCAATCCATCTTTATTTTGGAAGTACTTCCAGCTGGGAAAGGAAAACTCTCACCTTTACAAGTACAGCCAAGTGCTGAAAGAAAGTTAAGTGTGTAAAAGGAGCTGCACATGGTCCAGCAGCAGGAGGAGTGTCCCAAGTGTGTCACCTTCAGGCTGACACCCTCTGCTTCTGCTGCCAGAGCTCTGCATGTTGGCTGTGCAAAAAATCTCACTTGCTGAACAGAGATACTCCTAAATAAGGACATTTCTTGGGAACCTAAACAAAACCAGACACATGAAACTCTCCATAGAAAAATACAACCTTGTCACAAGAGCACGAAGTGAAGGTGATCTCCAAGCTTTGGATACATCACAAGAACCCTGCAAGGCAGCTCCAACCAGCTCACCTGGGAATGGTGACCCAAACCGGCTGGATTTACACCCCAAATCCCCCCAAATCCAGTTTATCTCTGGGAGCACAGGCTGGGTGTGTGTTGGGTGGATGGGATTTGGAATGGCACTGATAACAGCTGAACAAAGAGCTTCAAATGCCAGGAATCAAGCTCTGCTGTTCCCTGGTTAATTTTGCCTGTTTTTTTCCCTATTCTGACAATTACAGACATTTTAGGACACTTTGAAACACTTCTGACATGAGGACAGTGATGTTTTGGAGTGGAATTTCGCCCCACTTTAACCCATGATGTCACCAGGTCAAACAGATCCCACCCAAACAGGGAATTAATTTAAAGAGCCAAATTCTCTGTCCTTTCTGTAGCTGCACAAAAACCAGTGCCACCATCCACTGGGCTCCTCCAAGATAAACAACAGCACCAAACTGAGCTCATCTGGCTTCTAATCCAAAGTTTTCCCATCTGAAATGTGAGGAAATACGGAAACATCTGAAACAGACAGCACAGAACTATTTTACAGACAATTAACTCCAAGTGAAAGAATAAATTCAAGGCAGACACCAAGGCTGCTTGCAGGCCACACTAATTCCCTAAATCCAGGTGACAAGCATGTGCTGGATTGATGGGCAGGTGACACTTGGCTGAAACACCACTGTCAAAAAGACACCAAAGAAATGTGGGATTTGGGAAAAATGCACTCAACTTGTACACACCTGCATGGGGAAGTGCCAAGAGAATTCTGAGTCCCAAACTGCTCCAAATAAAGGCAAAAGCTCAGAGCTCCCAGCCAGCAGCAGGGCTGGGGTTAAATAAATACAACACCTGAATTTGGGGGTTTTTGTTTCTTTTCTGACAAATTTCACCCCTGTCAGGCAGTGCTGGAGCTGCAGTTTGCTTTAATCTTGTCCTTTTCATCCCTCACCTCCAGGGCTGTGCTTCCCTGGGATGTTCAGGGCTTTCTGCAGGGCTTGGGCTCAAATTTTAACTACAAACCCAAAGTTGTGCATTTCTGTGCAACCTATGGGTACAAAAGAGGAAGTCAATTTCTGCATAAGGAGTTCACATTTCCCTATATCAGAAACTGATGGAAACAGATTGTGGCTGAACACACTGATAAACCATTATCAGACATATCACACACATTATTGCCTGATAATTACAAACAGCTGGGACACACAACTCCAGCTTTACCCATTTTGAGTTTTCTCAAGAAAAACCAAGGTATTTTCTAACTTTAAAGTGAAGATACATAAATGATATGACTTATGAAGCCAATGTCTCAACAGAAACACATCTCTGTGTCTGTTCATTAAAGAGCAAAATGAACTGGGAACAATCTTTAATTTCCCCTTATAAAACTAAAAAAAAAAGTGATGATAGCTTTGTGTAGAAAAAAAGCAAAAAAAATATTTTTCAACATATATCTGTCATATCTCAGGCTAAAGGACCACACAGTCTACTCTTCTTAGTGCTTCTATGCAAACCAAAGGCACCTTTCTTATGGGTGAGGCTGTGAATTGGGACCCTTTTATGTGGGGTTTTACAAAGCGGGTGACAGAATGGGCCCTGTGTTACTGACTGCAACCACAACAACGAGGGATTGGGAAACACTGGAGCTCATGAATGCACTGGCAAGGAAAATGCAACCATGTCCAAAGCACTGTGTGAGAGCAGCTGGCAGGACACACCTTGTCACAGCAGGGCAAGAATCAGACAGCTCTGAATGGAGACAGCGCAGAGCCACCTGCACTCTGTCCACCCCCCGTGCCCCCCAGCATGCAGGACAAACCCCAGTGGCACCCACCTGGCAGCACACAGCTGCCAGGCTGCAGGGGAGAGGACTGGCAGTGCCAGCAGGTGCCAGCTTTGATCTGCAGATGAACGTTTTCGGGCTGGTGGGACGCCAAGCTGAGCTGGCCGTGCAGGTCAGGACCCTCCTTGCAGAGGGCCAGGGACTCTGCAGTGCTTTTCCCCCTCTCTTCTAAGCAGGTGCATCTTCAAAGCAGCAGCAGGGGTGGCTGGGCTGGTGGAGGAGCAGGGATGGGCGTGCAGGACGGGCAGAGTGCCCAGCCACGGGCACGGCCAGACCCTGCAAAGCCCCGGGGCAGGACGCTCCAGCAGAGAGTGGCTCTGCTCAGACAGGCTTTTCCTGAAGGACAGCCCAACCTCCTGCCCAGCAGAGCCAGGGGAAGGCAGCTGGGAGCTCCTGCACCAGCCACCAACTCCAGGAGACGCCGTGGCAGTGCCCTCCTGCCCAGCAGAGCCCGGCAGCAGCGAGGGGAGGAGGATTTGGGGTCAGCCAGAGGAGCAGCGGGATGCTCACGGCTCCTGTGGCATTATTCCCAAGGCCAGGATGGTGGGCCAGGCTCAGGGCTCCCAAACCCAGCTGTCCTTGCCCAGCCCAGCTCCAGGAGCAGAGGGAGGATTGGTGCTGGCACCAACAGGAGCATGAGGAGCTCAGAAAATGACTCTGTCCTCCTGCGTCCTCTCCCACCACAGGCTGCTGTTCAGGGTGCCAAAGCTGCTGTCCTCCTCCTCCTGCTCTTTAGCCAGCTCCACAAACACCTGGAAAACAGGGAGAACACCCCATGCTCCTTGCAGGAACCTCCTTGGTCACAAATACAACTCATGTTAAAATCCTCATGAGTGTTCAATGTATTGCTTCATCTCTGAGTAAGACATTTCTAGTATTTTTAGTATTTTGAGGTTTTTCTCCTTACTCCTATCCTCCCACCTCTTTTCTTCAAGAGCACAATGAAAGGGAAGTTCAACACTGAAGGACATTAATTGTCAGCAATAATTAATCCACAATAAGCAATTAAAAGTCTCAGTTTCATCCTCCTTCCAGCTACGAACAGCAAATGTCTGTTCTTGGAATAGATCAGAGCAGCTTTTCCACTAATATCACACATTTGCCTTCTTCCAGTCACTGCAGTTGGCATCTTATTTTTAGAGGGAAAAACAGGAATAAAGAGGAGCTGGAGAGCTGGCAGATGTGATTCACTTTGCAAAAAGGGAATTTAGTTTCCCAAAAATGCCCTAACAGGCATCACCAAAGCAGCCCCAGTGGTCTGAGAGTAGAGCTTGGAGGATGAGCTGCCTGCACAGGGTCCATCATTATGGGATCGTGGAATGCTCTGGGTTGGAAGGGACCTTAAAGCTGATCCCATCCCACCCCTGCCCTGGGCAGGGACACCTTCCACTGACCCAGGCTGCTCCAAGCCCTGTCCAGCCTGGCCTTGGGCACTTCCAAGGATCCAGGGGCAGCCACAGCTTCTCTGGGCATTTCATCCCAGCCCCTCCCCACCCTCACGGGGAGGAATTCCTTCCAAACATCCCATCTACCCTTGCCCTCTGACACCTTCACCTGGCAGGGTTTACACTCAAAAGAACGGGTTTAAACTCACAAACCAGAATTTAACACACCTGTTCCAGCGTTGCTTGAGAAAAGCTGTAGTCCTCGATGTTGAAGGCGTGTTTTACTGGTGAAAGAAGCAATAAGAACAGATTTAGGGACACTTCACTTACTCTTGACTTCCCAAGAAACAGAGTTGGGGACAAACATCAATAAAAGAAAATTAAATTAAAGAAATTTGGAACAGAAATGGAAGAGTGACAGCACGTGGCAGAAGTGTCAGTTATGGGACACAAAAGGATTTGTGTGTGTGATTTATGGCAAGTGCTTCATTACCTTCCTCCAGCTTGGAAAAAGAATGTGAAAGTGACTGTACATCTTCTTTAGGAATTTTGTATGCCAAGATGGAAGCAAAACTGGAACAAAGAAGCAAAACAAATTTAGCTTCAAGCAAAATCACTCCAAGTACAAATACTAGCACCCCATGGAATGGGCTTGAACTCCTTTCCTGAAGGTCTCTGCAGGCATTCTGACTGTCACAATCACACAGGAAGGGCAGGGATGCAGCTCCAGGGGCATCAGCTGAGAGCACCTGAGTCTGTTCTAAGTTCATGCTCCTCCACTCAGATTCAATCTTTTCTATTCTGCTTACTCATGGCAGGTTTGCTTCCTGGAGTTCCCAGAGTCCGGAGGGTTTGGATTTCAGCCGAGCTGGGAGGTTCCAGCACGTCCTGGAAGTTTGCATCACACAACTTTCCTGCAACCCAGGGAGCAGCCCTGCCCTGCACAGGGAGCTCTCCCCTCCCTCCCTTCCATCTCCCACATTTGAGGAAGGATCTCAATCATGATCCCTCAAGGATCCTGCTCTGGATGCCTGCAGTGCCCTTTGTGGAGTCTCCAGTTACCGAGCCAAACCCTCCGGCACAGACTCAGAGCTGCTGCTGGAACAGCAGCCAGCCCACCCTGCAGCTGAGACCCCCAGAGACCTCAGGCATTTCCAGGTAAGGGCAGAGAGTCAGAAACGCAGGTTTCAGCCCTTTCCCGGGGGCCCTGACCCGGGAGGAAGCTGTCAGGCAACAGCTATGCAGAAATCCAGTTTTGCTTCCTCCGCGCCAAACATCTGCGTGAGCTCCCGGCCCCGCCCTGCCAGCCCGGGCTCTGCTGCCTTCCAGATCCCTTCCTTTTTTTATTCCTCTTCTTTTTAAAGCTGTGAGTAACTATTTACATTCCTTCCTGGTGCCAAGGAGCTGCTGTGAAATCAGATTAATATCAATATTTTCTGACTATCTGTCAAACCTCACCTTTCCTGGCGGTTGGCGTTGGGGAAGATGTGCAAAATCTGGCTCTGCAGATATTCCACCTGCTGCACATCTGCTGTTTCCCTTAGTTTCATTTCCAAGAAGTATCCTCTGCCAAATTTGCTCTTCAGGTGTTGGACAGTACCTATACATCTATAAATTACAGACAAAAAACACAAGTTTTACTCAAGAACAGCCTAACCTCAAACAGATCCTTTTGGCTGGGAAGGATTCATTTAAGGTACCAAATTTAAGGTACCAAATTTATCTTTATTTTCAGAGGAGTACATCAGCACAGCTGCCTGTGCCCCCTGCCCCAGGGGGGATCTGGGGGTACCTGAGCTGCCCTGACACCAGGATGGCCACACGGTCACAGACAGCATCTGCCTCCTCCATGTAGTGTGTGGTCAGGATTGCTGCTCTCTCCTTGTTCTTAAAGGCTGCTCGGATTGCCCGCCTGCAAAACACAACCCAAACCACCCCTGGACAAATCCATCTGGCAGGGAACAGTAAATCCTGCCTCAGTAGGAAAGGGGGGCTGGGATGGACCCTCTGTTTATGGATTAATGCCACTCCCACTGCAACAATTAACACCTGAGTTTCCTAAACACAGCTCGAATCTGTATTCTATATTATTTTAAGGATTTCTGTCAACCTTCAAGCCTGTGGTTCCCAAGTTGTTCTGGGAGAGAACACAGCTGTGCTGCACCTGGCACACAGGTTGGGCTGATGTGAGGCCCCCACCTGCAGTCCTGTGTCCAGCCCTGGGGCTCCCAGCACAGGAAGAGCTGCTGGAGTGAGTCAAGAGGAGACCACGGAGATGCTCCAAGAGCTGGAGCACTTCTGCTATGGACACAGGCTGAGTGTTGGGGGTGTTCATCCAAACAGAAGCTCCAGGGAGACCTCGGAGCCCCTTCCAGGGCCTAAAGGGGCTCCAGGAGAGCTGGAGAGGGACTGGGGACAAGGGATGGAGGGACAGGACACAGGGAATGGCTCCCACTGCCAAAGGGCAGGGTTAGATGGGATATTAAGCAGAAATTATTCTGCTTTTCTGGAAGATATCCCTGCCCACGGAGGGGGGTGGAACTGGATCATCTTCATGGTCCCTTCCAACCCAGCCCACTGAGTTATTCCCTGTCTGTGGCTCACAGGGAGGGATAGCTCAGCAGGGACAACTGCCCCAGAGCAGGCTGGTCCCTGCAGCCACGGCCAGCACTCACCACATGTGCTGCTTGGCTTTGGGGTCCATCCCGGTGGAGGGCTCGTCCAGCAGCGTGACCCGCGGGTTGCCCAGCATGCTGAGGGCAAAGCAGAGCTGGGGGAAGGCAGAGGGGCAGGGTGAGGACAGGGAGGGTGCTGGGGACCCCCAGGGTGACCCCAGAGCCCCCCTTACCTTGCGTTTCAGCCCCATGCCCAACTTCTTTGTCGTCTTCTGCAGGTGGTCCTTTAAATCCAGAACACTGGCAATGCTGGGGAGGGAAGGACCGGGTGGGAAAGGTTGGGAGGGGGATGGTTTGGCTTCCCTCTCACCAGAGAATGCAAAACAGCTCCTTTTGAAGAGCTTAGTTAAAAATATTTGTGTATCAAGTTTAAAAAAAAGCAGAGCAAAAAGCAAAATTGGAGCTTCCATACTAAGCCACCTGTCCTGGAGGAGCCTTGGTGACAACAGAAAGAGTTCCAAGCTCAGGATTCCCCATCCTTGCAGCCTCTACAAAGGTCACTGTTAGTACTTTATAACCTTAGAAAAATAACTTTAAAAAAACATATATGAAAATTAAAAATCCCAACTGAATTTTGTGTGGACAAACCTTCATCTCCTCATCTACAAATTTACAGTTGCAGAATTTCAACCAAGTTTAAAACCAAACTTAAATAGAAACAAAAACTGCAGTAGGAAAGGTGAGAAGGGGAAAAAACAAAAAAAAGCCAAAATCCTTCCAAGCAGTAAGGCTGGAGATAAAAAAAGCTAAAGCAACTTCAGTTCAAGCACAAAGATTTCTGTAATGAACTACTCACCGCTTGATGACCTCTTTAACATCAGACTGGCTCATGCCTTTGATAGCACCATAAATCTCAAAGTGCTCCTGCAATGTGATATCTGGCCACAGAGGATTTGTTTGGGGACAGTAGCCCACGAATTTCACAGAGTCATCCTCACTGCTCAGCCCCAAGGAATCATCTCCCATCAGAACCTGTGAGGAAAATGCCCAGACCTTAATTCACAATATTACAAATTTCCAAACTCTTTCTGCATGGTTTTAGCAGAAAACATTTGCATGGTTTTAGCAAAATGCCCTCAGGAGTGCTTGCAATAATAACAATAAAATTGAAATGTAGCTTTGATTTTTTGGGTAACTGTGGCATGGAACATACCTGCCCACTGGTTGGCTCAATCTCTCCAACAAGCATATTAATTAATGTGCTTTTCCCAGCTCCATTGGGTCCCAACAAACCCAGGATTTCTCCTAAAAAGGGACAACACAAACATTGCCCACGAGATCAGATAAATGGTTCCAAGAGTTGTTTTTATAAATCAAACAACAGCAAGCAACTGAACTCCAACCTTTCTTCACACAGAGGGAAACATGTTTGGTTGCCACTTTCTTTATTTTTCTCCCCAGAAGAAATTCCTTCCTTTCATCAAACTCTTTGTGCAGGCTGCTGACCAGGATTGCTGGCATCTGGCAGGGAAGAGGGAGGTGGCTGCAGATCCCAGCAGCTCTGGGGAGCCCCAAATGGGGGGTTTGGGTTTTACCTCCTCGCTCCTGGGGCTGCTCAGGATCTCTTTGACTCTCAGCCTCTCTGCCTTCACATCCTCGTCCTCGTTCTCCTCGTGAGGCACATCTGGGAACTTCCAGGGCTTGGCTTTGGTAAAACATTTCCTAAAAGGGAGGAAAGCAGCACCAGGCCCCTGCTCAGCTCTCAGCTGAGGCTGGCTCAAAGGCATTTCCCAGAGCAGGAGGAGCTCAGGGACTGCCACTGTGTCACCTCCCTGCTGAGCTCTCTGTGGGGGTACAGCCTCCCTGGCTGTGCACTGGGAATGGTAATTCCCTTGTTTTTACATAGGGAATCCTTACAAAATCCCTGATTTTGCAGTGATGTAACTTGAGAGGAAATAAACCCCCCATTTCTGCACTTCAGTAACAATTTCTGATGGGATATAATGAAAGAGATTTTATTCCTCCCACTGCACACCCCAGTTTAACCACCACCAGCACCTTCAAAACCAGTTTCTTTGGACAATGTCTTGGCTAAAAACCATCCAGGAGTCTCACCTGAAGAAGGGATCTTCTCTCACCGTCCTGCCCCCGTTCTTCAGCTCGAAGCAGCGCAGCAGGAACAGCCACACCACACACTGCAGGTAGGGCTGAGGCAGACAGAAACCACCCTGGTCACCCCTGGGCATGCTGGGGTGACCCCACCAGAGTGATGAGTGAAGAAGCTCCAGCCCTGCCCCACCACACAAGTGTTGGTGTTGCCAAGAATATTAAATATATCATTGCATGCTGCTCAGCGGGTCTGAGGAGGCACAACCAAAGGAGTTTGGATTTAAAAGCAATTATTTGGGGTTTTTGTGCAGAGAAGGGGCTGTCCTTGCTCTGGAGCTCTTGCTCCATCAGCAGGGATTCCCATAATAATCAGAATTAACACTGGCAGTGTTAATCAGGCTATGGGGACAGCAGATGTTGAGCTGGTGGGCACAGCAGCTTTCCTGGCTCTGCTTGTGCTGCAGGCTCAGCATCAGAGCAAATCTTTACTGATAAAGATGATGGACAGAAGGGGATCCCAGCAGGAACCACAATTCCCTGCAGCAGATTGGGAATTTTCCCTCTATAAAAACAGAGAATGCAAAGCCATGCTCACAGCCAGAACTGCCACCAGCAGCCGGTCCCAGGGGTCGTGGAATCCCCCACTGTCACTCTGGCCTTTCCATGAGACCTGGGAATTCAGGGAAAGGCATGGTCAGGTAAAGAAACATCTACAGAGACTCCATTTCCTGCACTCTGCTTTCGTCTCATCCAGGCTCTGGTGCTCAAGCACTTCCTGAGCTCTGCAGAGACTCTCCAAAAAAAAAAAAATCCAACAGCTCCATCCAAAGCCTGGGGCTGCTCCTGCTTTCAAGCACCCACTCCCAATCAACCCTCATCCCATCCCTGGCTTTGCTCACTGAGGAACACCTGGTTTTCCTTGGAATGTCACAGAACCAAGGAATGGTTTGAGACCTCAAAACCCCTCCCAATTAACCCTCATCCCATCCCTGGGTTTGCTCACCTGGTTTTCCTTGGAATATCACAGAACCATGGAATGGTTTGGGACCTCAAAGCCTCTCTCATTCCATCCCCTGCTGCTCCCAGCCCTGTCCAGCCTGGCCTTGGGCACTGCCAGGGGTCCAGGGGCAGCCACAGCTGCTATGGGCACCCTCACAGGGAGGAATTTCTTCCCAAAATCCCATCTAACCCTGCTCTCTGTCAGCTTGGAGCATTCCCCCTTGTCCTGTCACTCCACCCCTTGTTTAAAGTGCCTCTCCATCTTTCTTGTAGGCTCCCTCCACTCAGAGAAAGGAAGTTTCATGGAAAACTTGCTGCTTTCCCCATTTTAAAACCAAACCACTTCACTTAATAGGAAAAAGTTGATTTTTCTCCATCTTCACATGTTAAGTGGCTACAGAGGCCAACCCAAAGACACCAACACAACCCCAGCCACCTCCAAGGGCTCTGGAAAGGAGCCCTGCAGTCCCCTTACCTTTATGAAACAAATCAGGCAGCCAATAAGGGGATAAATAGGAATGAAGATGGAGAAGACATAATGCAGGATGGTGGTTACCAGGTAATGGTCCAGGAAAAAGGACACCTCAGTGACAACTGTGCAGAGCAGGGCTGTCTGTAGCAAAGAAAAGGGGGAAAATGTCCATTTTCATCCACTTCAGACTCTCTAAGCATAAGTTAATTAATTTAAGGTATTTTTTCTTAAAGCTTTTATCACTCAGGATATGGCAGTGAGTGAGACATTGGTAAAAAATTCCCATTTTCTGTGCAATAGGGACACACAGCTCCACAAAATAACTGGGATTTTTTGCTGTGGCTTTGGAAATCACCAATCTTCCCACTTATCCCAGCTCCAGGCCAAGTCACTCACCACTGAAAATATAAATGACCAAAATTCCTTCGTGTTCTGGACTTTTTTGAAGGTGAAGGAGACCACGTAGGTGAAGAGCACGACTGAGGGGACGTAACCAATCAGGCAAAAAATCTGCAGAGACAGGAAAGGCTCCTCAGGGAATGTGCAGCAGGAATTTTTATGCATAAGGATCAACTGGAATTACCTCAGTGCGATACAGAACTCTGGATTTATCTTTGTCACTTTATCTGATGTATATTTTGCTGCCTTGGTACACAGAGAATGTGTTATTAAAGACACATATTAAAGAATGTGTGGAGAGGCAAAAACTCCCCCCCACTTCAGCTTCCTTTAAACTCTTTCCCATTTTTATTGTTTTTTTTTTTTTTTTTGTAACGCAGGCTCCCATAAATGCTGACCTCAAGATTCTGCCAAATAGTAAGAACTCCACCATGGCATTTTTGTAGAAATTCAAACAAGGGTAGATAGAAAAGCAGCCCTGCAGCCACATCCCAAACCTGATTAACTCTGGAAAAGCAGCTGGGAAAAGCTGATTCCTCTCAATTCCAACCAGGATCACAGGGAGGCCTGCTCTGAATATCAAAGACATGCAGCCTGGTGGTGTCCTGCACTTAATCCCATTTGCAGCTCTCTGCAGAGATGGGCTCTGCCCAAAGTCACTGTGCCCTTGCCATCAGCAGCAGCTGCCATCACAGCACAGAGCACAAACAGGCTGAGGCAGCAGGAAGAAAGGAGCATTTCCTGGGGAAATCCTGCAGGTTTAAGGATCAACAAGGCTGGAAAAGAGCTCTGAGATGTGAGTCGAGCCTGTGACCAAGCAGAGCCCTCCAGGGACAGAGACTCCAGCACTCCCTGGGCAGCTGTTACTGCTGGGTCAGAGGTGGATCAGAAGGCAAAGTGGTAAAAATTCTGTTTATTTCATCCTCTCTTCTTTTATAGCTTAGTTTGCTACAGGTGGACTTGACTGGTCATTTAATTAATACATTTCACTTGATAGCTTAATTAACAAGGCACCCATTTGTAAACAATCTTATGAGAAAAACAGATTATTGCAAAAACACTACTTGTAGGCTCTTTTTAATATTTGGTTATGATTGTTTATTGTTAGCTCTCTAAAGCTTCTCAGGTCGATTCTGGGAAAACTCATTTAGCTTTCTTTCTCTCTGACCAGGCTGTCACATCCACAGGCAGCCCCTTCTCAATCCCATCCCTCAATTTAACCCCAAGGCCAGTGACCCTGATCCAGCCCAACCACACCCATGGCAGATATTTAAAGCTGACACAGCAGAAATAAAGGAGCATTTCCTTGGAAAACCCTGGTGGTTAAAATCCCCTTCCAGTCCCAACCACCCTTTCTGTGAAGCAGTTCTTCCTGTGTCCAACCCAAACCTGCTTGATTTTATTTTATTTTATTTTATTTATGAATGAAACTCCCAACTTGGAGCCATTTTCCCTATGAAAAACTTCCTGTCTTTGCTCCAGCAGCGTTTTCCTGTGCATCCATGGGGGAAATTCAACTGAATCAGGTAAGGGAAATAAAAGCCTTGCAGAAAAGAAGGCAGCCCTGCTGTCAGCCCGGCCCAGACTCACCACAGCCAGGAACTTGCCCACGTAGAAATAAACGCCGTAGTGGAAGGCAAAGAGGCTGCCAATCATCAGGATGAGGATGAAGAAGAACAGAGGCAGGTCCACCACAGCCTGGCCAGTCCAGTAAGCTGAGGGATAGAGCCCTGCAATCTTCAGCTGGGTGTAAGCCTTGATCTGCAGCAGGGGAAGAGAACACAGAGTTAATCAGGTGTTAATTACAATTAATGTTTTGTGAATCCCCTCCTGTGTTCTGTCATTATTGCCAAGCTTGGCTTGGCACAGAAAAGCTTCTCTCAGATCTGCTCCACCTTTGGCATTGTTTTAAACCCCTCTTTGGGTCTTTCCAAAGAGGAAATCCCAGGATTTTTAAATCCCTGTGCCTCTCTGCATGGACACCTGGGTGTTACCTTGTGGTTTTCTGCATTGTCCATGGCGAAGTAGGGTGGCATCCCAGTGATGATGATCCCCAGTAACACGGCTTCAAAATAGATCTCCAGCCTGAAAATTGTGTCTGGAAGATCCTGGGGTAGAGATCAGATTTATTCAATGCCAGAATGTGACCAAAAAATGCTACATTAGGAGTTGGAACACGGCTGTGAATGCTAAAATGAAAAGTCTTTAGATGTCAAGATCACCTGAGCTGCAGCAGGAGGAAAAACACTTGTGGAAGTTTTGGGAGTATTTAGATGAGGAATAAATAATAACTAAAGAACTTTTCAGAGCATTTATCTCCTGCAGAAGGTCCTCTCCTCTCCCAAAGCCCCTCCAGCTCTGCACAGACCAAGAACTGCAGGCAACCTCCAAAAAACTCATAATGAATTAATTCACAGGACCACGGAATGGTTTGGGTTGGAAAGAACCACGGGGGTCATCCCATCCCAACCCCCAACTCCTTCTACCAGACTGGGGTGCTCCAAGCCCCACTGAACCTTTAATTCCTTCACATCATCCTCTTCCCAAGCCCCGGCAGAGCAAAGTGCCAGCACCTTCCACACCCCAATAAACCCTGCAGGCAGCCCCAGCCAGCTTTTCCCTTGGTTTGTGCGGTGCTCCTGCACTCCCCCTTCCCCCCAGGGATGCTTTGCCCTCTCCCCAGGGTTCCAGGGTGATTTTTTGGGAGCTGCTCACCTGAATCAAGGGGTTGCTCCAGATCTGGATGCTCTCGGTCACGTTCAAACTGCGCAGGAGGAGGTTGCTGGCAATGTTCATCAGAACTGGCAGGGAATGCACCATGGTGCTGTTGAATATGATGTTGAAAACATAATTCTAGGAAGAAAAATACATGCTGCATTAATTCCTCTGCTCTGAGAGGGCTCTCCTTAATTAAACCTGAGCATTGGGATAAATCTTTGCATAACCAAGTGCTTTGCAGGAAGCTCTGGGCTGCTCAGGGTGCTTCTCACACACTGCCTCATTCAGGAAATCAGTCCTGCCTCAGAGAGGGAACTCCTGGGAATAAATTCCCAGCATGTTTCACAGAGCAGTGACAAATGGCACTCCAGACAATTACAGTCTGGGAAACAAAACACATGAGGAGCTGCTCTGGGATGATCCTGCTCATGGGTTTAAAACCAGACAGGCAAAGATGTGCAGGAGCTGCACTGTCACTCTGCTGGCAGCAGTGTCAGGGAGTAAAAATGGGGACAAGAGCCAGAGCTGGCACACTGTGAAGCAGTTCCCTTGCTGGGGATTAAATATGATCCCAAAGTTCAGATATTCCTGTTACCGTGAACACGTACAGCCCAAGAAACTGATTTTTCTTTACACATGAGAGCACCATGGAATTATATTTCTGTCAAATTGTAATTCAGTCAGTATAAATTAAAAAAAAAATCATAAAACATTCCTCTGCCAGGTGTCTTGTGAAGTAGAATATTTCTCCTGACTTTCTGTGTCCTTGTGGGGAAGAAAAGGGGATCACAGTTTGATTGGCTTATTGTGATTGTAATTACATAATTATGTCATTATAATGATTTAATTATAATTATGGAAGAACATGTATTTTGCTAATATTTCCACCCTCTCCTCTTTGCAGCCTCTTGTATAAGCAATATTATAGGCTGTTATTTGATTCCATGACTCCAGAGCTGCTTTTCAGGTGAGAATTTCCCAAAGCAGCCCCAGCAGCTGCTCTTTGGGCACAGCCCAGCCAGTGTGTGTCTTACCTGCCTGGACTGGAGGGCAAACACGTTCAGAGCTGCACTGTGAGGGGCCACTGAGACATAATCACTGTCATTGAACATCTCCCAGAGGATGTTCATGCTCCCCAGGGAGTGCACAATGTCACTGATATCCGACTCTGGGGACAGAAAACAACAGGGAATCATTTAAACTGGAAGAGACCTTCAGGATCATCAAATTAATTTTCCCCCTGTGCTCAGCACTGGTGAGGGCACCCCTCGAGTGCTGTGTCCAGTTCTGGGCCCCCCAGTTTAGGAGGGACATGGAGGGGCTGGAGCAGGTCCAGAGGGGGCAACGAGGCTGAAGAGGGGCTGGGAACACAAACCTCACAAAAGTGAGGAACCACTGAGGGAGCTGGGGGTGCTCAGCCTGGAGCAAAGGAGACTCAGGGTGCCCTCCTCACTCTGCACAGCTCCTGAAAGGTGCCTGTGCTCAGCTGGGGCTGGGCTCTTTCTCCAGCAGCACTGAGACAACCAGAGCACACAGCCTGCAGCTGCACCAAGGGAAATACAGGCTGGATATAAGGAAAAAGTGTTTCACAGAACAGTTCTGGAATGGCTGCCTGGGGAGGTGGTGCAGTCCCCATCCCTGGTGTGTTTAACAAAGCCTGGATGTGGCACTGGGGGCCAGGGTTCAGTTGAGGGGTTGGGGTTGGGTTGGACTCCATGGTCTTTGAGGTCTTTTCCAACCTGGTGACTCTGTGAATTCTGAAATCCAGCCACTCCCCACCCCTAAGCCATGTCCCTGAGTGCCACATCTCCCTGACTTTTAAATCCCTCCTCTTCAGCAGCCTGGAGTATTTTACAAGAATTATCAATGCACAGCTCAAGCAGGTGCTGGTTTCTACTGCCTGGGTTCCTGCTGGGCACTTTTAAAACATCCTCAGTCGAAACAAAAAGGGATTTTCCCTGATGTTTTCCACCAGAATTTCCATGTTGATTTATCTCAATGTTTCTGGCCATTTCTTTCACTTGAATCATCTTCTGACACAGCAAGAACAAGGTCATAGAGCTGGGAGGAGGATCTCCAAATCAAACCCCATGGCACAAACTGACAATTTACCACCCCTGGGCACTTGGAAACTCTTCATCAGGGTTAATACCAAGAAAAAAGTTCATTCTCAACCCCAAAACCTGGGAGAAGGAGAGGTGGAGACAGATCTGCTGCCCCACCTGTGGAGTTCTGCAGCAGGAGCCGACTCCTGTACTTGTGATAGTTCTCTCCAGGCTTCAGCAAGTACAAATCTGGGGAGAGTTTGATAGCAGCTACAGCATTTTTGATGATGTGGTGTATGAAAAACAACAAAATCTGAACTACAAGGAAAATGAGGAAAAGCAACAACCTGAAAGAAATAAAAGTTTGGGGTTTGTTACAATTCAGTGAAAGTCAACCCAGTTTTATGTGCATGCTATTAAAAAAAACCATCTCCCTCACCCCCCAAAAAACCATTTATTGACAGAAATTACAGCTTCACACGTGCTGTTTTTTAAATGAGGAAAAATGAAGGACAGGATGTGCTTTCCCTGGTGCCATTCAGCCAGGTTTTGGGACTCCCACACAAAGGAGGACCCCCATACTCACATAACTCTGACACATTTGTTCTCCCGTTTCAGGCTGAGGAAGTGCACTTTGGCTATGGTGGAAACCTGCTTCTTCCACAGGGCTGAGTTGCTCATGGCTGGTGCCTTGGCCTCGGAGAGCATCAGCAGGCTCTGCTCCATGTCATCCAGGGACTTGGTGTCCATCTCCTCCTGTGCTTGCTGTGAGTGGAACACGCTGTAATCTGAAACGGGGCAGGGAAAACCCAGGGAGGTGATGCCCTGACTGCTGGGGGTGGAAATGGGACAGGAGGGGGAGCCAGGGGCCAGACTCCGTGCTCTTCCTGTTGTCACCTCGCCCATCCCCATCCCCATCCCAATCCTATGCCATTCCATCCCAATCCTATCCCCATCTCAATCCCATCCCTCCCAATCCCCATCCCAACCCAATTCCCATTCCATCCCAATCCTATCCCCATCCCATCCCATCCCATCCCATCCCATCCCATCCCATCCCAATCTCAATCCCATCCTAATCCCATTCCATCCCAATCCTATCCCATCCCCATCCCATTCCAGCCATCCCAATCCCATCCCTCCCCATCCCCATCCCACTGAACCCCAATCCCATCCCCATTCCATGCCATCCCAACCCAATCCCATCCCCATCCATGAATTTAACCCCAAGGCCAGTGACCCTGCTGCAGCCCAACCACACCCATGGCAGACACTTCAAGCTGACACAGCAGAAATAAAGGAGCATTTCCTTGGAAAACCCTGGTGGTTTAAACCCCAGAATGAACAAGGCTGGGAAAGACCTTTGAGATCCTTGTGCCCAGCCTGTAACCAAGCAGACCCTGGCACCAGGGGCCACATCCAGCCCACCAACACCTCCAGGGACAGAGACTGCAGAGGCTCCAGCACCTCCCTGCGCAGCCCCAGTCCCAGTCACCCTTGGGATTTGATGATTCATAATTTTGCCACCAAAAGGTGCAGATTTGCCCCAGTTCCATCCCTTGGCCTGTGTGTGCACCTGCAGATCCAGCTGTTAAATCCTCTTAAACACACACAGAAACTCTGTGCAGTCAGTATAATTAGGGAGCAATTTCCATTCCAGTTACAGAATACATATATTTACTCATACTAATAATTCTGGATCACACAGAAAGCTCCAGAACAATTAGAACAGCTCAAACTATTCAAAACTGACATTAAAAAAACAACTGACTCATTCTGGAGTAATATTAAGCAGTCCCAACTTTTCATATGGACTGAAAGTTAATTTAAAGTGAGACAAGCTGTGCTGCTTCAGCCCTAAGTGCAGCTACTGTTCACACAAAAGGTTGAAAATTAATTTTACCCTGCACATTTATAATTTCTTGAAAGCAAACTCTATTAGGAAAATAAAGGGCATTTTAAAAGGCAAGTAAACTGTAAAGCCAAGCAGTCAGATGTGAGCTGGCTAGATGAAAAATTAATCAGTAAAAAGTTTTTCCCTGGATGCTCCCAGAATCACTCCCCAGCCAATTCTCTGCCTTTTCCTGTGCTGGAACCCTGGTTACTGAGAATTTTAAACTTTCTGTGCTGAGAGATTCTGACCCCCAGGAGAGCACTGCATTTGAGCTGAGGCCATGGAGAAGGCTTCTAAAATTAATTAATAGCACTGAGATTATGAGTGTGTAGCTTAATTAGAAGTCTGTGATATCACAGAGTAAAAACCTTAGAGTGTGGGTTTTTAAAATATAGTAATATATATATAATATTTATTATATATAATATATATATAGTATATATATAAAATATATATATACAGTAATATATATATTAAAATATAGTAATATATATAAAACAAAATAAAAGTTTTAAAGCAGAAGTTACCTGCTTCTTTACCTTCTCCTTTATGAGTTTAAGCAGCGTTTTGAACTGAATATTGAATGTACAATATTGAATGTACAATGTTGAATACTGAGTATTGTATTTGAATGTTTCAACAGCCTGGAACATTGTGAGAACCAAAGGATGCCCAGATGCTGGAGGAGCACCCTGTGAGGGATGTTTTTTCTTTTTCCCTCCTTCTGGCAGTGACAATCCCACAGGAACTGAGGGGAGCCAAGGGGACAGCCCTGCTCCTTCCCACCTGCTTGATCAATCTCTGCCTCGACCTCCAGCTTCAGGTAAACGTCCTCCAGCGTGGTCATGGACACGCCATAGGTGATGACCCCCAGGTGGGAATGGGTGTCCAGGTCAGAGAACAAACCTAGGGAGAGAGGCAGCTCTGAAACTCTGCTCCAGCACCTGCCAAGAGCACTTCAGGCACATCACACACCGCCCTAAACCTCCTGCTTGGTGGGAAAATCAGGAATGTGGGAATGGCAAATAAACCAGAAGGTCATGATTTGAGAACCAAGGTGGAACAGGCTCCTTTTAGCATGAAATTTCAGCCTCTGTGGTCAGGAAATGTGGTTTTGCTGAAGTTGTGCTGCTTCTAAAGACTGTCTCAGCATCCTGAAGCTGCTGGGCTCAAAGTTTCCTCAGGGCAGGTTCAAGGTGAGCTCTCCTGGAAAAATCATATCCAGTACAGCTCATCCTACCTAAATCCCTGCCCAGGCACAAAGGATCTTACAAATGAAATCACTGAGTCATTTTTTGTCTATAAAAATAAGTAATAAACAATATATATATATATATATATATAAGAATTCCCAGGTGTTTAAGGGCAGGTTAACCAGGCAGGAGATGTTGGACAGGGCACAGAGCTTGAAGACCAACATGAGATTCAGAGTGGGAGAACTTCACAGCACCCTGAGGTGAAAAATGTTACTGGGTTTTTGTCAATCCTATGAAATCAGGACTTAAAAAAAAGGAGATTCAGAGCCAAGGTGAGGCTGAAGGGAAATTTAAATGTATAAAATGGGAGGAGCACTTGGATATTTGACAATACTCCTCACCCCTGCACGGTTTTCCTGCCCCAGCTGATAAGGTGTGTTCCCAACCTCAGCTTCTCCCTAAAATAGTTTGGGGGAATTGATTCAATCTCAGCCTTTTTGCAAAGCTCATAAATCATTAACCCCAATGCAACAGGGAAAAAAAGTCTTTATGGAATATCAGCTACATGTTCCCATCAATATTGATGCTCCCTTGGCTTCCCACACAGGATTTATTCCATTTATTTCTGGGAGCAGAGCAAGGAGCCCTGCCCAGGACTGCTCAGATAATTGCTGCCATCTAGTGAAATCCTCCCCTCTGCTCCCTGCTCCCTCTCTCCATGGAATTTCAAGGCAGTCACATGAAGCTCTTTGCAGTTCAGAAGAGTTTGTAGGGTTTTTGTAGGACTGTTGTAGGATTTTTGAAGTATTTGGGGATTTCCTGCATCCTGCTACAGGTCAGCCCTGCTCTTTGGACCCTCTGCAAGAGGAAGGTGATTCTGCAGGACCAGGGGATGCTCAGGTGGAAGGGACTCCTCACCACAGAGGCATCTCCCCAGCCCTTGATGTTGGGCACCCACAACCCTCACACCTCACTGGAAGAGGTGACAAAACCTTCACTCACCTGAGGAAACCCTCCCTGACTCCCCACCAAATAATAATAAATATAAAAACATCAAGGCAGAATTGACACTTTATCACGAACATCAGCCTAAAGCCATGCTTAATAAACACCCCCAGCTGCAATCACTGATCCTTGCAACACAGAACCCCAAAAATACCTGCAAACTTGTCCACGTCCTTGAGAGGGAGGGTGTACACGAGCTGCTCGTGGTTCTGCTGGATCAGGCTGGCTGCAGGGATGTGCTGCCTGATCAGAGACGTGGTGGCCTCTGTGTTGCAATAGGCATCGATGTGCATGCTGGAAAAACAGCAGGAACTGGGGTTTAGAGCTTGGCCTGCTCCTGACACTTCAGTTGTATCATTCTGATTTAGCTTTTCTATGTTTCAGGTTCTGTGCTGCTTTAGTGTGTGGGTCTGGGTTCACATCAGGGGATGGTGAGCTCTGCCCAGAGGAGGGAGACAAAACAATTCCTGCTCCAGCTGGGCACCAAGGACAAATGATCCAAATCTCAGCCCAAGAGCACAAACAACGTGGGCTGGAGAGAGAAAAACAAGCAGGATGGGACTGGATGGGCTAAAGCTGGAATTGGACAATGAACTGCAATCTGCACATGGAGCAGAGCTGATCCCAGGGAGAGACCCCGGGAGCGCTCGTGCATTTTGGGACCATTTTGGTTCATCTTGGGTGCAGCCCTGGCTGGGCTCTTGTGCTGCCCAAGGTGGATGCATGGAGGAGATCCTTTGAATAAATCCCTGCTTTATTTTTTAGCTCTGTCCAGCCTCTGTTCTAGTTCAGCCTTCTCAAGGCATCAATTCAAGGACAAAAGGATCTTTCTGAGGGATGCTTTCTCAGAGATTCCAACAGAAAATAGTAAAAGAGATGCATGATGGCCCCTAAGAGGTACAAAACTGGACACAGGATTACCTCAGGCGGTAGCCAATGCCCCACTTGCTCTTGAGGAAGAGAGAAGAGCCGAGGCATTTCAGCATCCCTTGGGAAATCACAGCTTTACGATCTGGAACGGAAAGTCAGGAAGCTCAAAATGGACAATTTCCTCCCAAACCTCGCTCTGGGTTGCACACCAATGGTAACCCAGGGCTGGGGTTGAAGCTGGGCTGGGGCAGGGCTCACCAGCCAGGATGTCAGCCTCGTCCATGAAGTGGGTGCTGAACACAGTCACACGGTTGGCTTTCCTGCTCCTCAGCAGGTTCCAGACGATGTGGCGGGAGCAGGGATCCATCCCCGCCGTGGGCTCGTCCAGCAGCAAAACCTGGGGGCAAAACCACCAGGGCTGCTCAAAGCCACGGCCCCCGAGCTCAGTAACCCCTCCCCAGCACACCCAGAGGGGTTTGTTTGAAACCAGCCAGTTAATTCCTGTAAAATAGGAAACATCCCAGACTAACAAGGCAGCTTTTGTCACTGTGCTTTGAATACATCCATCTCCCTTGTGACAAATGGAAAAATCCTGTGACAAATTAATGCCACAGCCTGCTGTATTCTGCTTCCAATAGAACTATGTAGTAGAATCACAACTTAGCCATGGGTTCACTCTTTCTGCAGGGGTGGTTAAATGCACACACCTGCTTTGAAACCCCCAGGAAGTGTCACACACACCATTTTTAACCACAGATCTCAAAGCAGTCCCCGTCCTCACAGGCCACAAATTACAGAGCTGCAACACAAAAGATCTCTGGCTCTGCTCCTGCTCCTGCTCCCGGATGGCTTTTAGACGAAAGCATCCAACAATTTCACTGCTGGGGGATAAATGCTACCTGCCAGAAATTACACACAAAACTTGCCACACTATTCATTTGCCAAAGAGATCAAACCCAAGGCTGCTGCCATTACCTGAGCCTCAAGCACAAAGGCTGAGAGATTGAAATGATTGTAATTAAACTATAAACGAAGGAAAAAAAGGTGCTCAAAGGAAAATTTTCTGCATTTTGCACATTAGTTGCTTTTGACAAGAGAGACCAAGCCTTCCATGGATCAGCACTACTGAGCTGAGAATAATTCCATCCCTCTCACCTTGGGGTTCCCAAGAACAGCAACTCCCACTGACAGCCTCCTCTTCTGCCCCCCACTTAATTTTTTGGCTTGATTGTCCCTGATGGGCTGCATCTCCAAATCCAGCAACACCTTCTGTACCTTGAAAACACAAGAAATACATTTTTGTTTTAAAAAAACACCTATAATTTTTTTAAACCAGATTGTTAACAATTAACATTCACATTAACTCCTGCTGGTTCCCAGTGTGTTCTGTATCTGAACTGCACAACCTGCACACAAAGTTTAATGGTGTCTATAACTGGACCTAAATGCCAGATGTAAAACATTTCATGGGCATTTTAATCTTAGAAAAAAACTGAAGGCTTATCCTTGTCTAAATATCTGCCTGTACCTCTTTGTCCACTGAACCACACAGGAATATTTCCCTCCAAAAGGAAAACCCTGCAAGGATATTTTGATCTACAGGTTAAAAACATACATGTAAGACAACACCTCTGGCCAGGTGAGTTACCTCTTGTATCAAATTGTTCTGAGGGATGCCCTTGATGGCAGCAAAGATGGAGAGGTTCTCCTCCACAGTTAAGATGTCAAAGTGGATGTCGGCCTGGGGGCACACCCCCGCGATCTGCCGCACCTCCAGCATCTCGTCGATCTCAGACACCCTGTGCCCGTAGACTGACACAAACCCTAAAGAAATGAACACAAAATCATGCAAGGGTTTGAGCTGGAGTGGGCCTTAAAGTTCATCTCATTCCAACGCCCTGCCATGGGCTGGTATCTCAGGTTGAAAGGTGTGGCTGGGGTGTGTGTTCCATCCCCATCTGTCAGAGCTGGGGCAGTTCTCTGCTGTTCACTGGGCAGGTTCCTTTATCTCTGCTACACAGCTGGAAACTCTCCACTGGAAGCAGCAATCACCAGAGAGGGTTTTACAGCCCTGCCTAGACAGGAATTGCTCTTTCAGACTTTATCCAAAGAAATTCTGGTGCATAACCAGAACAACCACCCAGACTGAGGCCTGGCTGTGAAGCAGGGCAGCCCCAGGGTGGCACTCACCATCAGTGGGAGGGCACAGCCCGCAGAGGATGTTCATCAGCGTCGTCTTCCCCGTGCCGCTGTGGCCCAGCAGCGCCGTGATCTGCCCCTCGTAGATGTCAAAGGACAAATCTGCTCCAGGGCACAGCGAGAGGAGGGGTCAGGGTGGGCTCCTGGCCCCTGAGCCAGCTCCTGCCCCAGGCTCAATCCCAGTGCTCACATTCACACTCTGTCTGGGCACAGGACTGGCCTGGCACGGTCCCACAGCCACCGTGGGGTGGCCACGTCTCAAAGCCACCCAGGGAAAGGAGGTGACAACATCAGGGAGGGGAGATGACATCACTACATGGGCAGTGGGAATTGGGGTGATGCCAGCAGGCTTTCCTTAGGGATGAAGGGCTCATTTTTGGTTTAGACACCACTGTGTGAGAGAGAGAGGACACACACAAGCACGGCTGGCATTGGTGCTCCAGGGCCCCACCCCTCCAAAGAAACCAAAACCCGCCTGAACTGAAACCCAAAAATCACTCAGCAACTCAGCTACTGCTCCTCTGCATCCCACCAGCAGATAAAATGCTGAAATGTTCTTACTTCTGAGTGCCTCCACGGTTTCCCCCTTTTTCATGAATGTTTTCTGAACACAGCTGATTCTGAAAGAAGACACATCATGGCATGAACTATTTCAGCACCTTTACATGTCACTTTCAGTCACCAACACTCAGCAACAATCACAACAAGCCAACCAGACCCAAGTGGCACCAGATGTGTTAAAAACCCATTGAGGCAAGTCAAGAGACAGGACAGACTTTTCTTGGTCACCTTCTAAGGCATTTCCTGTGATGACAAACTGCATTATTTCAAATCTGAGTCTCTTTCACATGGTGGAGCAGTGCTCTAGAGGCTTCCCAAGCTAGGAAAGGGAACAGCTACTCCCCAGCAGTTGCATAACGCAACAGGAGACTCCACAGACATGGCATGGAGAAGAGGTGACAGCAGAATGGACTCCAAAGATGTGATTCCTGACAGCTCTTGGTCAAAATCAGGTACAAGAAAACAGATATTTCTCTTTTCAGGAGAGGTAAAAACCTTCTTTCCAGCCCCGCTGTTTTTCCAAATGAAAAGAACAGACAGTTTATCTAGAGGCACCAAATCAAGGAATGATTTTGGAGGCCTCATCACCCTGAAAATGAGGATGGTGAGTGGATTATGGAGGGTGAGTATTGGGAAAAAAAATGAGAATAAAAGCAAATAAAATTTGCACATGGAAAGATGGCAAGTGAAAATGCTGGAGCTGGTGGAGGGATGATGTGGGAAGAGTTCTGGGTGGGTGAATAATGCAACAACAGCCACCATGTTCTCAGGGGAACATCAGCATTAAAACTGGACCCTGTAGATAATAAAAATACCTTTCAATAGTTAAAAAATCAGCGTGTACCTCATCCATGTCTAAGATTACAACAACAAACCCCTCTCCTTAAGTGATTCATCCTTGGCTCCACAGCCCTGAGGATGGGGGTTTGCTGTGAGCAGGGCTCTGCAATCCACGTGCTGTGTGAGCAGTGCAGAGCCAGGAGTGAAGCACTAGAATCCCGCAGGCAGGGCAGGGGCTGTACCTGATGGCTTCCTTGCCCTGGAATTCTGAAGGCACAGGCTCCACAATCTCACTGAAGCTCAAGCTGCCGTTGACGCTGCTCTCGTACAGCTCCTTGTAGTTCTTCCTGTGCTTTGACCAGAAGGAGGGTTTCATGAAGAAAAAGGGCGTGCGGCGCAGGCCAAACTCCCCTGGGGACAGGACAGAAGGCAACCTGAGCAGCAACCACTATTATATTATATTATATTATATTATATTATATTATACTATATTATACTATATTATATTATACACATCACATCATGTAGTATACTATAATACATTATATAGTATTGTATAGTTATATTATGTAACTATCTATTAGGAATATATTATAAAATATTATAAATATTGTATATAAATATTTATAAACCATAATTAAATTATATGTATTTCAATATATATATTTTTATTTTTATATATAATAAATAGAATAAATTTGTATATTATAAACATATTATATTTATTACATTATTATATATTATATGTATATTATATATAATAATATATTGTATTATGTAATTATATATTACAAATATATTATAAATGTAATATACATGATATTATATATATATAAATATTTATAAATTGTAATTAAATTATATATATTTATATATAAATATGTATGTATAAATATTATATATTATTACATTATATTATTAATTATATTATACTATATCATATTGTATCAGATTATACTATATAATATCATATATAATACAATACAATATCATATAATCATATAGTAATATATAGCTATATTATATAGCTATGTTGTATAGCTATATTGTATAGTGCTGTTATGTTATTAATTTTTTATATTTATTATATATTTATATAATATTATCTTTATAATATATATTATATTATAATTATATTGTATTATATTCTATTACATTAAATATATTCCTCAGCTTTGGGCTTTCAGCACCAACCACAAATATTATATATTATATTATAATATGATATAAACCTCAGCTCTGGGCTTTCAGCTCCTGCCATAGCCAGCCTCCACCTGCTCCTGAGAATTCCATCAGCCAAATTTCCCTTTAAGCCATGATTCCCCATCCCCACTGCTGGCAGGTTTCACTTTTGCTGAGTATTTAAATAAATGTGCAAATTTCCTTCTAGTCCAGAGAAATCCCCAGTGCTGAATGAGCAGTGACTTAAAAGTGGCAGGGAGAAAAGAGAGGGGCTGGAGGTGAACAGAGCTGAGGGGCTTAACCAGCTCTTAATCCCAAGATTAATAACTTTATTCTGTGTTTTAGTCTCAACTTCTTCTGCCACAGGGAGAGATCTAGAAGATGAAGAGCAGTCTTTGATTTCCAGCCCTCCAAGAGGAAATTGGAAAGGCTGAGGTTGCAGTTAACTCAGCAAGGAAGTTTTTCCTCTAGAAAGAGGGGAAAACCAATCTTTTTAAGGCCAGGCCAAAACCCCTCTCAACACCTCACAGTTTTAACAGAATATAAATTATTTCAGCCAGAAATGCAAAATTCAATGTGGAAACAGCATCACCTCCTTTCTCCAGAGAATTTGGGGTTGAGGTTAGGGTTAGGGTTAAGGTTAGGGTTAGGAGGAGATGCCAGCAGCCTGGGGGGCTCAGGATTTCAGGATGATCCTCCCAGTGCCCAGTGTCTGTCAGGAATTTACCTGGGATCACCTGGTCAAGGTAGACAGCTACAAGCAGGTAAAAGATGCTGTCCAGCACCAAGAGAATCAGAGAGATACAGAGAGGGTAAGGACCAGCATTGATGTTTGCAAACGTTGCCCCATCCTCATAATCCTCCAGGTGCATGACCTGCAGGGAAAGATGTCACACACCAAAAAGGCAAAACAGCACAGCGCAAAAAAACCCCCAAAACTTGGCAAAAAACCAAAAATAATGATAAAGTGACTGAGATCACAATGGACACAAAGAATAACAGCTCCTTTACGGCGCTGGATATTAAACTGCTACGAAAATAAAAGCATTTTTTTTAATTAAAAATAAAATATCTATTTTAAACCCCCATCAAGGGCAGGTGGGGATTTACCTGGGCAACACCAATCAAGAAGCTGCACTGACACAAAGGGCTGAGGATCCACACGAAGGATTTGGGGAAATCCTCCAGCAGGACGATGTTGAGGCCCACAAAGCCAAAAACCAGAGTTGCCAGGAACTCCACTATCCCCACGTGCTTGGACTTCTTAAACAGAGGGGTCAGCATCAGGGCAAAGAAAACCTGGGGGCAGAGGGAAAAACAGAGAGGAAAGCACTGTAGTAATAATAATGGCAGTAATAATAATAGTAATAATAGTAATAATATAGAAATTGTGGGGCAAAACTAAGGGAAAATACCATAGTAATAGTAGTAATAATAATAATAATAATAATAATAATAATAATAATAATAATAATAATATTGTATAGAAAAACTAGGGGAAAATACCATAGCTGCCTCTGACAATCATATAATTTATAATAGAATTTTCCTGGTGTAGTCACTACAGCACAAGATTCATGGAATAATTTTCAGCTGGAAAAGTATTTCAAGATCGACTCCAACCATTCTTCTTATCAACTCAGACAAGCAACTGGATACATAAATATATTTATCATGGATTTTTATCATTCTCTGTCAGTTTATTAAGTTCTTAGCATTAAGCTCTGTATTAACAGGAAATGTTTTGAAGAGGATCTGAACTGCAGAATGGTTCTGTGGAGGGTTTAAAACTCAAAACCTGATGATTATAAACTCAGCTTATTTCAGGAGGGAAAAGCATTTTTCATGGTGATGGGTGACACCTGTACAACATCTTAAAAGCAGGAGAAAACCCCAGGAAGGGCTGGGACAGCTCAGATTCCCAGCACTGCTCAACCCTACAGAAACAACAAATATTTTGGCAGGGGAACAAATCAGGTGGGAAGGGAATAAAAGAATCCAAGCACCAGGTGGCTGAGTTTTTCAGGACCAGGAATACTCACAGAGGAGACTCCATAGAGGAAGAAAAGGAGGAATATGACAAAGGCACTGCTCTGGGGGAACAGGGACGAGGCTGTGGCAATCACAGCCATCAGGATGGACATGACAAAAATCAGGCTCACGTAGAGCAGCACCCAGGACAGCCTAGGGAGAAAAAAACAGAAAAATGAATGAATCCCCAGCCACACAAACAGCAAAACCCAGCACTCTTTAATAGCCCACACAGACTTCTACCTCAAGTTAATTTCTAACTCTATGTCTCACTGCACCAAAGGCCAAGTGTGCAATAAAACCTGAATAAAAGAGCTGTTTGTACACAGAACATGAATAAAAGAGCTGTTGTGAACACCCTGGGGTTGTTCTCAGCACACAGCGAGACCCAGGGCAGCTAAAGATGCACAGTCAGGTGATTCACCTTTACTTTTTGCATCATTAATTTCCTGGTATAGGCAAAAGAGGGTAACAGAGTGGTAGGTTTCAATAATTCAAGGACTTCTGTTTAAAATTTAATACAGGCTGCTGGGCAGGGTAATAAAATCCTGCTCTGTTGAAAAACAGAGCTGTGAGTCTGGGAGCAACTCTGACCTCAGCAAACAGGGTGGATTGTGTCCAGGTAGCAAAAAATGACACATTTCCCCTGAAACAGCTAGAAAAAAACCATTCCAACCACTCCAGGTGGCTGTTTCAGTGCAGATGTGAAAACCCTACCAGAAAGGGCAAAGCAAAACCTGTTTTTATCCCCTCAGCTACCAATGATTTCAAATTAACACATCATTTCAGAGAAATATGAAATATTCTATTGCCCAGGCCAATTTTCATCAGGGTGAGGAAACAACTGAAAACCTGTTGCTGAGACTGCTTTGCCACATTCAAATTATAGAGTTGGATTAATTTAATTATGTGCCAGGCTGCAGGTTACCTGATGAGCTTCTAGGAAAGGAGGTAGCGAGCCAAAAATGCTTAAAAACCTCCATAAAACCTCACACTTAATGAGGTTTAATCCCTCTAATCTGGTGTAGCTTTACAGGAATAAATGCAGCAGGATTACTTATTAAAATATTCATATTTTCATGGTACTGCAAGTGTGTCTCTGTTTGATTGTAGAGAATATTTTAATTTTTGATTGTTTTCACTTAAAGACTGAAAAAAATTAAGAACTGGAGGGTGGGATGGAAGAGATTAATTAGAAATAGATTTTAAAATATTTCTTTACATATATTTTCTTTTTTTTTTTTCTTTTATAAGGAGCAGGTTATACCAAACACTCACATACCAGAAGGCAGTGTCATGAAGTCCCAAAATTTTCAAGAACTCCTTCAGCTTCCTCTCCTTTTCTGCCACGATGTGAATTGCCAAATAATACCCAAAGGGGGAGAATGCAATCACCAGGTAAATTAAAATGATTGCACGAGGGAAATTATCAATTTCCACCACTGCAGCCTCTCCCATAACCATGGCTCTGGTCAGATCCAGCTGTTCCCAAACAGAATGATTTGTCTTCAGCTGGAAGGAAGAGGAGGAAAAGTTATTTTGACATTTTTCCTGATTTTTCAGCCCCATCCCAACCACTCCACCCCTGTTGGCAGGGGGAGATGTGGAGAGCCCAAAACCTTCCTGACCCCAAATTCCAGGCCAAAAGCAAGACTGGAAAACACCTGAATGCCTGGGGATAAAATGAGAAAATGTGGAATTACTGTCACTTAAAAAGGTGGAATTTGCTGCCACCATGAGCAGGGTGAGGGGAAGGAAATTGGGAAAAATTGCAGAGCAATAGTGGCAGCAAAATAAGGTAAATTCTGCAGCCCCTGCTTGGAATGGCATTTTGGGGTGAGCATTTGTGTTCTGAGGAGGGTTGTGCTGGATGTTCAGCACCTCTGGGATGCAAATGGAGACAAAAATCCTCATAATCCAACCCAACGGGATTGGGGAAATCCTGGACAAAACATTGCCAAACCCACCCCAAAACTTCTGCCTTCTCATCATATCCCAGCTGAGATTTGAGACACAGCACCTCCCAGGATAAACAGATTGATTAAGGATTAGCAGGCAGCCCCTAGATGTGCCCTTTCTTGGGGTGAGGATGAGATTTTGTGGGATTTTATGGGATTTTCCCAGTGGTACCTGGACAAAACATGGCCAAATCCACAGGGAAACTTCTGCCTTCTCATCAGACCCCAGCTGAGATTTGAGACACAGCATCTCCCAGGACTGACAAGCAGATTAAGGAGCCCAGGCAGCCCCTGGATGTGTCATTTTTGGGGTAAGGATGGGATTTTATGGGATTTTCCCAGTGGTACCTGAACAAAACAGTCTGGACAAAGTATGGCCAAACTCACCCCAAAACTTCTGCCTTCTCATCATATCCCTGCTGGGATTTGGCACAGCATCTCCCAGGACTGACAGGCAGATTAAGCAGCCCTTCCTTGGGGTGAGGATGGGATTTAATGGGATTTAGTGGGATTTTCACAGAATTCACAGAATGACCAGGTTGGAAGAGACCTTCAAGACCATGGAGTCCAACCCAGCCCCAGCCCCTCAACTGAAGCCTGGCCCCCAGTGCCACATCCAGGCTTTGTTAAACACACCAGGGATGGGGACTGCACCACCTCCCCGGGCAGCCATTCCAGAACTTTATCCCCCTTTCTGTGACACACTTTTTCCTGCTATCCAACCTGTATTTCCCTTGGTGCAGCTGCAGGCTGTGTGCTCTGGTTGTGTCAGTGCTGCTGGAGAAAGAGCCCAGCCCCAGCTGAGCACAGGCACCTTTCAGGAGCTGTGCAGAGTGAGGAGGGCACCCCTGAGTCTCCTTTGCTCCAGGCTGAGCACCCCCAGCTCCCTCAGTGGTTCCTCACAGGGTCTGTGCTCCCAGCCCTATTTGATGGGATTTGATGGGATTTTGGGGGGTTTTGGGGGTTTCTCACCTGGATGATGGCAGCATCGATGCACGCCTGCAGGGCTGTGAAGCCCGAGCTCCAGTAGGTCACTGACTCGCAGCTCTCCCGCAGGCTGGAGCACGTGGCTGCAGGGAAAACAGGGAACAATCATCTTCAGGAGCCCTTCCGTGCCACAATTCCAGGTTAAAATCCCAAAAAATAAAGTTACAGCTGCCTCACTCCCTGGTAACAGCACCAACAACCCCCACAAAACAATACATGCCACACCAAGATAACCCCCCCTCAAAAACAGAAAATATGGGATGATTTTCCAGCTCATTCCCCTGCAGGTTTACCTCTGGATTATTATTACTATCTGGATTCACTATTAAATAGGGAATAATCATCTTCAGGAGCCCTTCCATGCCACAATTCCATGTTAAAATCTCAAAAAATTGAGTTACAGCTGCCCCGCTCCTGGAGAACAGCACCAACAAACCCCACAAACCAATATACGCTACACCAAGCCAAAAAAAACCCAAAAATGAAAATCTGGGATGACTCTGCAGCTTATTCCCCTGCAGGTTCATCTCTGGATTCCTATTGATATCTTGATTTGCTCTTAAATAGGAAATCATCATCTTCAGGAGCTCTTCCAAGGCAGGCCATTCCATGTTAAAATCCCAAAAAATAGAGTTACAGCTGCTCCACTCCCTGATAACAGCAACAACAACCCCCACAAACACAACACCAGGCCAGAAAAAAGCCAAAAAAGGAAAATATGGGATGATTTTCCAGCTTGTTCCACTGCAGATTTACCTCTAGGTAGTAATTACTATTATTAGTATAGTAATAGTAATTACTATTACTATCTGGATTTATTATTAAATAGGGAATAATCATCTTCAGAAGCCCTTCCATGCCACAATTCCATGTTAAAATCTCAAAAAATTGAGTTACAGCTGCCCCGCTCCTGGAGAACAGCACCAACAAACCCCACAAACCAATATACGCTACACCAAGCCAAAAAATCCCCAAAAATGAAAATCTGGGAAGACTTTGCAGCTCATTGCCCCGCAGGTTTACCTCTGGACTCCGTGTAGATGGAGGACATGGCGATGGAGTCGCGGAACCTCAGCTGGTAGGACATGGAGTCCTTGAACACCACTCCCACAAAGTTGGAGGGTTTGAAAAAACTCGCCTCTTCCAGCTCCTCCTCACTCAGATACTCCTCAGTGATGAGCCCTGGGAGGATTCAAATACAAATGCAAAAAAAAAAAACCACAAAAAACAATACAAATTATAATATAAAATATAAAAATATAAATATACTATAAATATCAATACAAATACAAACTTACAGTAAATACAATAAATATTAAATACATAACAGAGTATAACAGACTAGTGTATAGTATAATATAATATATAAATTATAATGTAAATATAAAATATAAATATAATATAGTAAAAATATAAATCCACTGTAAATATAAATGAAAATATAAATGCAAATATAAAATTATAGTAAATATATTAAATATTAATGGTATAATAGAGTATAATAGAATAGAGTATAATATAATAGAATATAATATCATATTATATAAAATATAAAATTATAATATAAATATAAAATATAGTAAAAATCTAAATACACTATAAATATAAATACATATATAAAAACAAATATAAAATTATAGTAAATATGTTGAATATTAAATATATAGTAGAGTATAATGGAATAAAGTATAATATCATTATATAATATAATATATAAATTTATAATATAAATATAAAATATAAAAATATAATATAGTTAAAATATAAATATACTATAACTATAAATGCAAATATAAAGTTATAGTGAATTTATTAAATATCAAATATATAATAGAGTCTAATATAATATAAATTATTTATTTTTTATTTATTCCCTGCCACAGCCTGGAATAAAAACATGCAACACTTTAAAGAAATTTAAAAATACACATAAAAATCATTAACGACTTCTTGGGGTTGGGAGCCCCTTCCCACCCAAACCATTCCATGATTCTTTGATATAAATATTCATTTTTGCCTCAGGGAGGGAAATATTCCCCTGAACAGCCATTGCAGGAGTTCAGCTCAGCACTGCAGGGTGAATAATCCAAATTTATCCTGGAAGTTTTCCCTTTTTCCCCCCATTTTTTGCTGCTCCCACAGTTTCCAGGTCCCAGTCCTCTGCTGGCTGCCCCAGTTTATCCCCAGGATTTCCCAGGAAAGGCGGATGGGGGGGAAGATGGAGAAATCCACCAAACTGTGGGGTTTTTGTCACTGATTTCAGCAGGGGATGGGAAGAGAAAGAGGAGCTGAGGAAGATGCAGATGTGGGGCTGGGACGTGGGTCCAAAGTAATTGTGAAGGATGAAAAGCTTAAAGAAAAGAATCAGAGATCCCAAACTAAAAAAAGAAACAGAGCAGGTTGGGAGAAGTAAGTTTTTGTTGTGGGTGAGGTGTGCAAGAAAGTGTTGGGGAAAAAAAAATGAAAAAAAAGAGAAAAAAACAGGAAAAACCCATACAAATGGGAAAAAAAAAAACCAAAAGGGAAACACCCAAACAAAGGGGAAAACCCCAAACAAATGAGAAGAAAAACATACAAGTGGAAAAAAAATCAAATAAATGAGAAAAAGCCCAAACAAATGAAAAAGAAACCCAAACAAATGAGGAAAAACCCAAACAAATGGGAAAAAAATCTGAAACAAAGAAAAAAATAAACAGAAGCAGGAAAAACAAACAAGGATAAAACCCAAACAAATGGGAAAAAAATCCCCAATAAATGGGAAAAACCAAACAAATATGCAGAAAACAAAATAAGAAGAAAAATCCAGGAAAAACGAAAGAGGGGAGAAAAACTCAAACAGGGGAAAAAAACAAAACCAAAATAAACATTAAAAAATGAAAACAGGAAAAGAAAAAAAAGGAATATTGCTTTCAAAAGAAAAAGTTGAGTTTTAGTTTTTCAAAAGAATAAGTGTTAAGGAGAATCAGGGATTGAAATAAATTAAAAAGATTGTTTTGATCATGACACCAGAATGGAAAATAACCAAAATTTCCCCTGAGGTTACCCCAGGATGTCACAGGGGAGGCACCAATCAGCCCCAGAGCTGATTTTTTTTCTTGTGGCTGCCTCAGGAATGGGAATCACTTTGAAATGGCAGCACCAGAATATTTTGCCAGGAAAAAAACCCAAAACCAGAAAAAAAAATCCCCAAACCCAACAAAATAACCCCCGAAATGCAACAAAAAACCTCACAAAACCAAAAAAAAGAACCAAAAAAACAGCCCAAAAAAACCCCCGAACAGCTAAAACCCCCCAAAAACTAATAAAAAAACCCTAAAACCAAGAAAAAATGGAAAACCAACAAAAAAAAACCTCTATAAAGCCAACGTAAAGCCCCCTAAACCAGCAAAAGAAAAACCCCAAAGCCAGCAAAAAGACCCAAAACCAACAAAAAAACCACCAAAACCAACAAAAAAACCCCTTAAAACCAGCAAGAGTCTCTAGAACCAGCAAGAAAAAAATACCTAACCCCAGCAAAAAAAATTCTAAGACCAACAAACTATGCCCAAACCAACATGAAAACCCCAAAAGCAACAATAAAACCTAAAACCAACAAAAAAAATGTAAACCAGCAAAAAAACCCAAACTCCTTCGCATTCCCTCCTCTGACAAATTCAGATTTTTCCTATTAACAGCACCACCGAGCTCGCCCTTCAAACACAAGTCACAGCATGAGACAGGAGGGGAAAAACAAAGATTTCAGGTCAGAATACCATCCCCAAAGTTGTCAAAAGCCACTTTCTTCATGATTTCCCAAGCCAGGGCTCTGGGGGGCCCAAAACCAGCAAAAAACCCCTAAAACCAGCAAAAAAAAAATCTTAAAACCGACAAAAAACGCCACCCCCCCAAATCAGCAAAAAGTCACCAAACCAGCAAAAAAAACCTATGACCAGCAAAAAAACCCCTAAAACAACCAAAAAACTGCCTAAAACAGAAAAAAAACCCCAAACAAAAAAGTCAACACAAAAACCAGCAAAACCCACCCCAACCAAAAAACCCTATTACTAAGAAAAAAACCGTAAACCCATCCAAAAACACGCATCAAACCAGAAAAATAAACCAAAACCAACAATAAAACCCTTAAAATAAACAAAAATCCACAACAGCTCCACAGTCCCTCCTCTGAAATATAAAGGATTTTTCCTATTAACAGCACCAGCGACCTCCCCCTTCAAAAACAAGTTCCAGCAGGAGATAAGAGGGGGGAAAAGGAAGATTTAAGGTCTCAATACCATCCTCAAAGTTGTCAAAAGCCACTTTCTTCATGATTTCCCGAGCCAGGGCCGTGGGGGGGGTGTAGCCGATGACAAAATTCAGCAGCACCGAGGGGTCCAGGGGGCCCAGGTCCATGTTGGGCACCTCGTCATATTTCCTGTGAGGGTGCATCATGCTCATCAGGATCAGCCAGAAGAGGAAAAACAGAGGGAAAAGCACTTCCTGTACAAAAAAAAAAATGGAATATTTTATAATTTGGTATTTCAGAGGGTCAAAAAAATTCATTATGTGCTCATCAGGATCAGCCAGAATAGGGGAAACCACAGGGAAAGCATCTCCTGGATGGAAAAAAATTAAATATCTCAAAATTCAGTATATGAAAGGGTCAAAAAACCTCATTATATACTCATCAGGATCAGCCAGAAATGGAAAAACAGGGGGAAAAGCACCTCCTGTGCAAAAAAAGGGAATATTTTAAAATTTGGTATTTCAAAGGGTCAAAAAAATTAATCACATAATTATCAGGATCAACAGAACAGGAGAAATAGTGGGAAAAACACCTCCTGGATGAAAAAAAAGGAATATTTTATAATTCAGTATCTAAAAGGGTCAAAAAACCTCATTACATACTCATCAGGATCAGCCAGAAATGGAAAAACGGGGGAAAAGCACCTCCTGTACCAAAAAAAAAATGGAATATTTTAAAATTTGCTATTTCAAATATTGACAAAAGCTCATTATGTACTCATCAGGGTCAGCCAGAAAAGGAAAAACATAGGGAAAAGCAGCTCCTGCATCAAAAAAAAAGAATATTTTCTAATTCCTTATATCAAAGGGTCAAAAAAATTCATTGTATGCTCATTAGGATCAGCCACAGTGGAAAAAACAGTGGGAAAAGCACCTTGTGCATCAAAAAAATAGAATATTTCAAAACTCATTGTTTCAAAGGTTCAGAAATACTCATTATATACTCATCAGCATCAGCCAGAATGGAAAAACATAGGAAAAAGCATTTCTTGCACCAAAAATTGGAATATTTCAAAAAGATTATTCATATTTCCTGTGAGGGTGCATCATGCTCATCAGGATCAGCCAGAACAAGAGAAACCACAGGGAAGGCAGCTCTTGGACAAAAAAATATGGAACTATTTCAAAATTAAGTATCTGAAAGGGTCAAAAAAGCTCTTTATGTACTCATGAGGATCAGCCAGGAATGGGAAAACAGAGGGAAAAGCACTTCCTGCACCAAAAAATTGGAATATTAAAAAAAAAGTCATCATATTTCCTGTGAGGGTGCATCATGCTCATCAGGATCAGCCAAAAGAGGAAAAACAGGGGGAAAAGCAACTCCTGTACCAAAAAAAATGGAATAGTTTATAATTCCGTATCTCAAAGGGTCAAAAAAATTCATTATAAACTCATTAGGATCAGCCAGAAGAAGAGAAACCACAGGGAAAGAATCTCCTGGATGGAAAAAAATGAAATATTTTAAAACTCAGTATCTCAAAGGGTCAAAAAAATCACTATATACTCATCAGGATCAGCCAGAAATGGAGAAACAGAGGGAAAAGCACCTTCTGCACCAAAAAAATGGAATATTTTAAAATTAGGTATCTCAAAGGGTCAAAAAAAATCATTATATTCTCATCAGGATCAGCCAGAACAGGAGAAACTTTGGGAAAACACCTTCTGCACTAAAAAAATATGGAATATGTCAAAATTCAATGCTTCAAAAGTTCAAAAAACTCATTATGTACTCATTGGAATCAGCAGAACAGGAAAAATAGTGAGAAAAGCACCTTCTGTGCCAAAAAAATGGAATATTTCAAAAAACCTCCGAATATTTCCTGCTCAAAACAAAAGCTGGGAGCCACTGAAGGAGCCCAGCCAAGCTCTGCAAGGTCTCCTCTTCCTCAAAATTCATCTGAAATCATCAAATCCGCCACACCCAGGAGAAAAGAGAAAGAAATCTTTTAAAAAGAGAGAAATAAATATTTTTTTAAAAAGAGAAATAAATCTTTTGGGGAGAGCTGAGCTCACTTCTCAGCGTGGCAACAGCTGTGGAAGCTTTTAAAGGGCACTGAGCTGGAAATATTCAAGTATATTTAAAAATATATATAATAAATATATATATTTATATATTTTAAAACATATTATATATACATTTTAAATATATAAAATCCATATATTACATTTTAGATGTATTATATAATATGTATTTAAATATATATATTTGATATGATTAATATGTCTAATATGCACTACAGCATATATATAATATTAAAGACTATACTAATATAATTTACTAATGCATTAATTGATATAGTATTTAAACATAATTAGAATATTAATGACTGATATATAGTATACACTAGCTGATATAATTTACTAATATATTCATCAATATACTCTTTTTAATAGATATATTTATAAATATAAAAATATATTTCTATATAATTAATAAAATACAAATATTATATAATAATACAATATTATTACATAATATATAGTATAATGATATATTTATAAATATATAAAATTATAAATATTATATTTATAATATGTAATTGCATATTTATTAAATAAATAATTGTATCTATGAAATAGTAAATTATTTCTTTTATTGTATATTTAATTGTAATGCAATGGTATATTTATTAGATAATTTTATTTATTATGTACTATATATTACATAATAACATATATATGCATATATATTAATATAATATATAATTACAATATGTTATTATATACAATTACTATGCCATACAATATGCATAATTATAAATATTATATTTTTATATGTATAATTTAATATTCAGAGTTTTTATCTAGATAAAGCCTTACACATTAGAATATTTTTTTAACAAAGGCTGACAAAACTCCTAAAAAAGCCTATTTCACCCCAAAATTCAGAGCGGACCATAAAGCCTCATGAAGTTTAAAACTTTTTTGCTGCAGTTTTGGAGTTATTTAAGTCCCAAGTGGTGAATATATAATATATGTATTTATAAATAGATATAATTTAATATTCAGAGTTTTTATCTAAAGCCTTAAACATTAGAATATTTTTTAAACAAAGCATCATAAAACTCCTTCTCTTAAAGCCTATTTCACCCCAAAATTCAGAGCAGACCATAAAGCCTCATGAAGTTTAAAATAAAACTGAGTTTTGCTGTGATTTGGGAGTTATTTAAGTCCCAAGCAGTGAATATATAATATATATATATTTATAAATAGATATAATTTCATATTCAGGGGTTTTATCCAAAGGCTTACACATTCGAGTATTTTTTAAACAAAGCATCACCAAACTCCTTGTATAAAAGCCTACTTCACCCCAAAACTGAGAGCAGACCATAAAGCCTCGTGGGCTTTATTTCTTTATTTCTTTTCATTTCAAGCTCAGCTCTTTGCTGAGCTTTGGGCGCTGTCAGCCCAGGTGCGGGCGGCCCCGGGCCCTCACCTGGACGCTGCTTTTCTTGGTCCTGCACTTGATCAGACAATTCTTGAAGAGCAGAGCTCGGGTTTGCCTCCACACCCCTGCCTCTCTCGGAGCACCTGGGGCCATTTTCAGGGCTGCTTGAAGAAGAAAATAAATACAGATTTTTTATTAAATGACAAAATAATTTGCCAAGCTGAGGCCGGGCAGTTGCAGCGCTCAGCGCGTTTTGTTTTGGGATTGTCACAGAAAGGTTTCGCTTTTAGTTCTTCGTGTTTTAGTGTTTTCTGATCCATGTCACAGAGAAACTGGGAATGGGAGAGACTGGGAGAAATTGGGAATGGGAGAAACTGGGAATGGGAGAGACAGGGAACGGGAGAGACAGGGAATTGGGAATGGGAGAAACTGGGAATGGGAGAAACTGGGAACTGGGAATGGGAGAGATTGGGAAAGAGAGAAACTGGGAATGAGAGAAACTAGGAATGAGAGCAATTGGTAATGGGAGAAACTGGGAATTGGGAATGGGAGAGATTGGGAATGAGAGAGATGAGGGATGATAGAGACTGACAATTGGGAATGAGAGAAACTGGGAATTGGAATGAGAGAAATTGGGAATGAGAGAAACTGGCAATTAGGAATGAGAGACACTGGCAACTGGGAATGAGAGAAACTGGGAATTGGGAATGAGAGAAACTGGGAATGACAGCAACTGGGAATGAGAGAAATTAGGAATCCATCTGGGAATTTGGGCTGAAGATGCCCCAAGATGCCTTGGAGCCACCTTCCACCCCAGGGCAGCTCTAGCCCACTCACTAGCCCTAACTTAAGCCAGGTTTATTTCCATTTTCCCCCCGTGGATCCCAGTCCCAACCACGCCTGTGGAGCACAATTCCAGGCCGCTGGCAGGAGCAGAGGCAGGCAGAGCAGGGAGAGCAGCCAGCTGCCCCGGGGCGAGCTGTGCAATTGGGTGTGAGTAACCCCCTTCCCTGCTGGAGCACAGCCAGCACCACTCATTCCTCCTTCAGCCCTTTTTAACCTCTTCATCACCCCAGCCAGCAGTGCTGCATGTGGCCTTGGGAGAGGAAAAAGAAATGAAAATAACAAATGGAATTAAATGGGAAATGTTCTTCCAGGCAATGCCTGCACGTACCTGGGGAGGGATGGAGGGCTGGGGGGCTGCAAAGGTTCCTCTCTCCTGGGTTTTGCCACCCTTTTTGCTGCCTGGGGTTGGCAGTCAGGGCTCAGTCTCCATCTCCCTCTTCCTCAGCTGGGAACACTGGGACAGAGACAAGACCAGGAGCTCAGAGGAGACAGGTGTCCCCAAGCCCACCTCCAGCAACAGCAGTGAGAAACTGCTGGGTTTTGGCTCCTCTTCTGCCTCTGTCAAGGTCAGGACTGAAGCTCTCAAAAGGTATTTTGTGTTCAGACTCAGATGTTTATTATTTCTTATCTATATTACAGTCTCACAAGGGGCAAGTTCAGTATTTCACTAACAAGACACAAAATGGCTATAACTGTCTTTCTCTACAAGGCCTTTTAAGGATAAACTGTCCAATTAAGAAATGACACCTAAATTATTTTCAGTTTTAACCCAACAACCAACCACCCGTGCCCTGCAATGTGGATTTTTATCCAATTACACAAAACCATCCAAACCCATGGAGAAGAAGGGGAAGAAGAAGGACAAGAAGAAGGACCAGCTTACACCGTAAAACCTCCATCTTGCTTTATATCTATTACTATATTCTAAACCTTTAAACTCTGAGTTTTCCACTCTGTGATATCACACATTTCTATTCAAACTCCACACCCACAATATCCGTTCCATCATTCCATTTTGGAAGCTTCTCCAGGGCCTCAGGTCAATGCAGTGTTCTCTTGGGGGTCAGTGCCTGGCAGCACACAAAGTCTTAAATTCTCAGCATCCAGAACTCCAACAAGAAACTGAGTAATTCCTCAACCCTTCAGCCAAAACACAGTGGAGAATGTGGAATTTATCCATATTCCAGCTTTCCAGCTCCCAGCACTCCTTCCAGAAGGAGGCTGATGCTGCTGGTGCCTGTGCAGAGGTCTGGGTTCCCAGTTATCTGTCAGACACCACATGGCTCAAACTTCCTTCCCCGGCTGGATTTTAATGGGGAAATCTTTTTTTGGAGCACAGACATCACCTGAGGAACGGGACACAGGAAGTTCTTCAGATATCAACACCACTATAAATACACAAATATTTTATACACAGAGCCTGTCTGAGCATGGGAGGGGTGAGAGGAGGAAAAAAGGGGCTAAAAGGAACCAAATTCCCACTCCCAGGCTGGCTCTGGGGTCCTCCACAGAGCAGTGACCCCACAAGGGATGTAGGATACAATCATTACAAGAGAATTTCTGGGAAGGAATCCCACCTCCAGCCTGGAGTGCTGCCCTCACACTGAGACTACTTCAAAAATTAAAAATATAAAAATACGCTTTAAAAAAAAAAAATCCAACTACAAAGCGCTTCAACACCAAGCTAGGATAGTAACCAAGCCCTGCAGGAAAAATGAGCACAACTCCTCTGGATATTTTCAGGCAAAAAGCCTTTCCTAGTGACAGCAGAGTGTTTGAAAAATAATCAAAAGCAGCAGTTCTTGCTTACAGGTCATGAAAATCATTGTGCTTCTCCCTGTGCTCACAGCATGCCCTGCAAGTGCCACTGTTTGCACATTCCAAGAGCACTCGCAGGAATAAAACTCCATCAAGGTCTCTCCTCAACACAAGGGTCTAACCCAGCAACCCCTTCCCTCAGCCACAATACTTTAATTAAATTATTATTATTATATTAATTATAACATTATTATTATTAATAATTATAAATAATATTCTAATTAAATCCCCAAAGTGGCAAAGATGACTTAACAAGATTCAATCATCAGTGCCAGTTACTGTTTTTCTCTAATTATTTTCTATCCACTTCTAAAACCCAAAATACTCCCACATCTCCATTGGAACTCTGCCATGCTTTCATTTACGTCAGCCAGGTTGGAGGAAGGGTCATTTGAAGAATGTTAATTAATTTTTCATATTACACCTGCCACCTCCATGTAGGCTACAGAACGATGAAGGACACTGAAGAAACATCACTTGAAGGGTGAAAAATTATATTTGGGGGAGAAAAAAACCCAACCACAATCCTCTTTGAAACTCCAGATGAAAGAAAGGAACACAGAGGCCGAGCAGAAAAAGCTGCCAAGGCATTTTAGTTGATTAATGGCAGACAAAATGAAGATAGTGTCAGCCTGTGAGAATCCTGCTCAGTTCAGGCACTGCCTTGCGTTTTGTGCTGCTGTGGGAAGCGGGTGACACAGGAACGCTCGTGGCCATCTCAGTCAAAGCCATCTCAAGGGAATGGCTGGGTTTGGGCTTTAATTCCCCATCGGAGATGCCAGTGCTTCTTAAAAAATGCTCAGCTGATCCTCGGGAAGCCTCCCCTCCCTTCCCCAGGCACCAACCTGACAACCGACTTTAAAGGTCACATGGTGACTTAGTGCTGCACAGCACGTTTGCCTTGTCTCTCAAGCCAAAAAAAAACCCAAAAAACCCAAAAACCCAAAGAAAACCAAATAAGAGGGGTGTCAGCCACAGATAAATGAGCTGTGGCTCGAGGCAAAACCAACTCATCAGTGAGCAACCCCGCGGAAAGGCAAGAAAATGAGATTATTGATCTTGCTGCTAGAAAACAGCAGCCGAGGTGGTCCTTCAGCAAAACTCTGCTGTGCTCTTTACATTATTAAAATTGTGACTGTAACAACGGGTAATAACATAAATGCTTTATGTGGCAATTTTAAAAATGGGCTGAATTTTCTCCCTTTTCTGAATTTTCTCCCTGATCTGAATTTTCTTCTGTATCAGCCCCTAAGGGGAACCCCTGCCCTGCTCAGGGCTGCAAATCCCTTCCTTCCAGACTCATCCCTGTTCCCCTGCGGGGACAAGGAATGACACGGAGCAGAGCCGGGTCGGGCTGTCCTCGCACGGCTCCCGCAGCATCCTCAGCATCCTCCTGCATCCCTGAGCACTCTCTGAACATCCCCAGCAACCCTAAGCATCCCTGAGCATCACCGAGAATCCCGCAGCATCCTCTGAACATCTCCAGCATCCCTTAATATCCCCGAGCATCCTCCTGCATCCCTGAGCATCCCCAGCACCCCTCAGCACCCCCGAGCATCCTTCCTGCATTCCTGAGCATCCTCCGAGCATCCCCGGCATCCCTGAGCATCCTCTGAGCATCTCCAGCACCCCGAGCATCCTCCCGCATCCCTGAGCATCCTCCTGCATCCCTGAGCATCTCCAGCACCCCTGAGCATCCCCCTGCATCCCTGAGCATCCCCAGCATTCTCCTGCATCCCCACCGCGCCCCAGCCGCGGGTACCCCGCGTGTCTCAGAGGGAGGACACTCCTGCTTTCCACATCTCCCTTTTCCCCCGCTCTAAAGCCCTGGAAATGCGGTTTTCTCACCGTTCTGCGCGCAGCCCCGCCGGCTCGGCTGCCCCAGCCATCGGCACCCGCGAGTAATGACGCGCACCAGGTGCAGCCCAACTCCTCCTCTTCCTCTCCGCTCCTTCCCCTTCCCGTCCCACCCGAGCCGGAGGGGCCGGGCCCGGCTGCTGCCACCGCCCCCCGGCCCGGGACCGCCCCTCGGCAGCGGTGCCGGAGAGCCCCGGTACCCACGAACCCTGCCGGTACCCCCCGGTACCTGCCGGTACCCACCGAACCCTGCCGGTACCCCCCGGTACCCTCCGGTATTCCCCAGTATCCCCGGTACCCCTCGGTCCACCCGGTACCGCCGCCCGCCCGCCCCCGGGCCAGTCCGCAGTGCCGGCCCCTCCCTGCTGCTGACCTTCCTCCCCTCCCGGGACATCCCCGATCCAGAGATCCCCTTTCCTTCCCTCCCGAGGGCTCGGGACCCCTTCCCTCGCAGGGACACTTCTCCAGGGCCTCATCCTGCAGGTAACCCCTCCTCCAAGGGATCCCCTCTTCCAAGGATTCTCTCCTCATGGGGACCCCATTCTCCAGTGATTACGTCTCCTGAGGACCCCTACCCCATCCCTTGGGTGACCCCTTCCTCCAAGTGACCTCTGTTCCAAGGATTCTCTCCTCCTGGGGATCCCATTTTCTGTGTGACCACCTCTCTTGAAGAGCCCCCTCTTCCTGGGGATTCCATTCTCTGAGAGATCCCCCTCCCAGGGACCCCCATCCTCCACGTAACCCCCTCCTCCAAGTGACCTCCCTCCAAGGATTCTCTCCTCCTGAGGACCACATCTTCTGGAAGAACCCCCCTTCCAGGGATACCCCCTCCCTTCTGCAGCCCCCAGGGAGACCCCCCTTCCACCTCCCAGCACAGCCTTGGTGGGGAGCAGAGGAAAGGGGCTGGAAATATGTGCTGGGAGGTTTCAGGCTGGGCAGGAGCTGCCTCACTCCATCCACTCCTCCCAGCTCCTGCCTGCATCCACAAGGTCAGCAGGATTTTATTCCATTCCCCAAAATGTAATTGAAGCATTGAAAATACTGCCCTGAATACCAACACTGAATTCCTGCCATTTACAGAGGGGTGCTGGTTCCTGTGATGCTTCCCACAGAGTTATTCCCCCTCTGGAATCCCTGTCACTTCTGGATGGGTCTGAGTCCGTTTTGCTGCCTTTGGGATGTGATCAACCCCACAGAGCTGTTTGCTCATCATCCTGTTCCCATCACTGGGAGCACAGTCTGAGCACAACCCCACGTGCTCTGATGTTCTAAGTGCCTCCTGTGAGCTGCTGGGAGAGGCTGAGCTGAGCAGGAATCCTGAATCCTTCTCATCCATGCTCAGGAAAACACCCAGCAGCTCCTGCTCCAGCACAGATTCACTGCTCAGATCCCTGCAGGGCTTGGGAATTCCTTGTTGGGGTTGGTTTGTGCACGAGGATCAGCACAGCAGTGACCAAGCTCTGAAAGCACAGCATGGACTCCACATTTTTATCTTGGAAAATGGAGATGAGGACACAGTGTCCTCATCTGAAAAGAAGAAAAGGATCTCACAGCACAGGATTAAGTGAAAAGCACTGTTTGCACGAGAAGGTCTCAGCCATGCAGAAGCATTTGCATCCCCTCCTTCACCCACAGCAATGGCTGGGAATATCCAGGATTGAAACCCCAGCCTGGTCCCAGGGCCCTCATAAGGCCCAAGCCCCACTGTGATGCCTCAGGTTTAGCTTTTCTGTTTTTCAGATCCAAGAGTATTAGCTCAAAGGACTCTAATTAAATAACTGCCAACAGAATACTGAGTAAATACAATAACATAACTACAACTTCAATAAAAAAACCCCTCAAAATTTTTTATCTTCATCCCCCAAGCATTAAACACAATAAAAGCCTGTCTGGGGCTGAATTCTTCTGGTCACTTTGTTGTGGTCTCTGTTTATACTTCAAAAGTTTAACTGCTCATATTCATGTTCTACTTCTTCCTGGACTAGTGGAAGTTGGAACGAGAGGGTCTCCAGAGTTCCCTCCTGATGTTGGTTTGGCTTTTGCCTTTTTTTTTTTTTTTTTATATATATTCTCTGTATTTTTCACACATATATTTGTAGCTCTGTAGCCTATTGTATTAGTGGCTTGTTTTCAGTACTTTTCCATGGCCTTTCCTGAGGCAGAAAGAGAACATAAATTCCAGAGCTCCAAGCTCCAGGGGGCACAAGGCCCCAGTGCTGTCTTGGTTCTTGGGAACCAAGGCTAAGAACAACTCTTGGAGATCCAGAAGATCTAAGGAGGCTCTAGAGAAGTGGCCTGACGTGGGGGGAATTGCATCACCCCTTGTCCTCCTCATTGGTGCTTTTTAACAATCATGCTAATTTCCCAAAACCTAGAAATGTGTACTCATCCCTGTAGGGGTGGGCTTTGTGGACAGCTTTCCATAATTGCTCCTGAAGGCTGTCATTAGAGATCTGCTCTTTTGTTACCTCCTTACAAAAATTATTAATCAAGTTTCATTTCCAGATTGGAGAAAGGCAACATCGAACCCAAACCACTCTATGAATCTGTGATTTGATGCTCTGCTTGTAACGTTTGTAACTCCTCAGAGTTCAGGGTATTTTAGCCCAACAGCTCCTCCTGAAGAGGTTCACAGCCACAACCCCCCAGGACAATTCATAGCAAAAAAATGTGAGGGGTCTGCACAAAGCACAGGAGGTGGGTGCTCCAAAACACCTGGCTGTGCCATTTGGGAGGAAAACATCCCCTAAAATGTTCCTGGCAGGTGGGTGCTGCTGCTACAGCCAGGGAAACACCAAACAGAACCAGCACCTGAAGAGTCCAACCCAGCCAGCAGCGAGGGGAGAGAACCTCCAGAGAGCCATTAAACCTAAAGCACTGCGCTGCTTTTCATCTTCAAAGCACCTTCAAACCAGCATCTAATTAATTTTTACAGCAGCCCTGTGTGCTCAGGTGCCTCAAGCATCGTCTCTGTTTGTGGATACAAAGAGCCAAAGGTGGTGGAATTTGTTCCAGACCAAAAGGAGTCTGTGCTGAGGTGCAGGTGGGTGTTGTATTTGCACCACAAACCTGTCCAGGTTACACTTCCAAGCAAAAGGATTTAAAGACAAAGAGGAGAATTTAATCTCTTTAAGTGGAACAGGGATCTAAACAATTCCACAAGGCAGTTGCACCAAATGATGGCAACTTCCAGTGGCTCCAGGTGCAAGAAGGCTGAGGCAGTTGGGGTTGGTCTGCTGGAGCAGAGGGAAATGTTTCCAGTTCTCATCACCCTGGGCTGATGGACTCTGTGCATTACAACAGCAGCACGGGTAGAATTGGGCCCTTTCTCTTTAAAGGATCTCCTTCCACGGGTATTTCATTGAAATTGAAAGTTGTGCCCAGGTTCTCACCTCAGGAGCTCAGCAAACAGGATATCAGGGAAGCACAGTTCAGTGCACTGCAGAGGGAATGCATTAATTCATCCAGAAAGGAAACATGACTGGCTGAATTTCCTTTCTTTCCTTCCTTTCCTTCCTTTCTGTGACTCAGCCTTTTGAAAGTAAAGAGGAAAAAGAAAAAACCCTAAAGGCATTAAAATCACAAAGGACCATTCCCAAAATCTTTGGTGCACCCCTGCTCATGCTGTGGAAAACCTTCTGTGCTGGATGTGGAGCAGAGCAGGAGGGAGGTGCCTCCAGCAGGGCAGGCTCTGGTTCTTGAAGTTAAATCTGGGGGGTTTTGTGCTGTGCAAGAGGGTAGAACAAGTTCAGTATGGAGGCAACAAATAAATGGCCAGAAATGGAACATTACCCTGGGATTTCAGACTGGATTTCAGACTGGATTTCAGGTGGATGTGGCCGGTGGATGTGGCCCTTCCATCCCCTCTGTATGAGAAGAGCATGCCTGCTCCAACTGCCCTTCCCAGCCCTTTCAGAAACCCAGGAATGCTGGAATGGTTTTGTGCAGTGGTGCAGAAGCTGCAGGTAAACTGCAGCTGCTCTTTCACAGCTTCTTTTTTTATCAAAGCTTTTCCAGAGCCCTTTGGGAGCCAGAGGCCCATCACAGAAATTGCTCAGATTCAAATGCAGAGAAACCCAAATTATTTTACATTTTCCTTTGGACTTATGAACCAACTCAAGCCCTGTTCTTGCCTGTATCTTGTGACAGTTTAGGTCTCTTTTTCTTGTGCACACAGCTGGCACAGGCACTGGCTGAGGAGATCTTCTCCACATTTACTGGAAGCGATGTGTTTGCATCAATAAACCTGTGGGTAAGCACAAAGACAATGCATTTGCATCCTCTACAGCCCAGATTCTCTGCCAGGGAACCCCTTCAGCAGGAATTCAGAGCACCTCATTTAGAGGCCTTCCTTTTTCTGGGAGCTGGAAAGAGGCTGAAATAAACTGTGCAAAAGCCAAATTCCTCCAGTTTACTGCTCCAAGGCTGCAGCTGCACCAAACTGCAAAGGGTCCTTGGCCACTGTCAAAGTCACCAGCTCCTGGACACCAAAAATATCCTGATATTCAGACTCAGGGCATGATTAACAAGTACAATTTATCCCTGGATTTAAAGGAAAGGGCTTAAAACCCAGCTGAGAATTGCAGCATTTTGCGCCCCTATAAGTGATTATGCAAAATTCAGTTCTTTAGGAGTCAGGTTTGCTCACACCATGCAGGACATGGGTTTTACTCCACGCCCTCACCCCCCTTCTGGAACAACATCCAGGCTGGCTCACAATAAAATTTCATAAAAGAGATTTCAGTCTTGGCCTAAGACTTGGCACAAGGAGTCCCAGCCCAGAATAGATTTTTACGGGAAGTTAAAAACCTCTGGGGAAAAAAAAAAAAAAAAAAAAAACAAAACAAAACAAAACAAGCTTTAAAGTGAACCATCAAGAGTCTCAACAGAGCTATGGCAGCAGTTCAGTGCACAATATATACATTGTGTGCAATGCATATAAGAATGCCATAATTACACCCAGATGGGTACAAACATAGATTCACTCTGGCCATGAGTAATACCTCATGATTGCAGAAAAAAAGAAGCCAAATGCCTATTTTAAATCAGCAGAGTTTGAGGGGGGGAAATGCGACCTCTCCCTGATGGGGATG